GCAGCGGTGGCAGCTGTGGGAGCTGCTTGGGGGCTTCAGTGAAGCCAAGAATCACAGTGATTCAAGAGCCTTCTATTTCCATTGCAGAGGGGTTTGAGAGTTTGTCTTCCTCCCTCCTGGACTATTCCCACGTTCAGACAGGGCAGGCGGTCTCCCTAGTTTGTACAGGCCCACGTGGACCTGCACAGCAGAACACAGGCATTCACGTGCACTGTTCAGGCTCACAGGGGCCACAAGTGTGCCGGAGTGCTCAGATGCTGACATCCCAGCCACAACTGGGCCAGGGCCTAGGTCCCTTCCTACACACCTCTTGGGTCACTGCTCCTCAAAAGCTTTTGTCCACAGCTGCTTTTTGATGGGAGACTGTGTTCCTGGCGGCCCTGCGCTGGCCAGAATCTTGGGCAGAATGTGGGCTGCAGCCCGGAGGGCCGTGAGCACCCATCTGGGCCTGGGTAGAGCCCTTGTGTAGGGGAGAGGCCTTGACAGTAGTAGCAAAGGGCAGAGTTTGGAATGGACCAATATCCCCGGCCCTCGGCTTCTGTGCAAGCTGCAGCCCAACCTCACCTCCCCAGCAGAGGACACAGGCCCCACCTACCACCACCTGGCTGTGTGGCCTTGGGCAAGATGCTAAACCTCCCTGTGGGTGACATAGGGTGTACCTTTCTTAGGCTTCTGAGCTCAGGAGAGCTTTGACCTGAGCACTGGGCTTCATGGAGGCTGTTTCTGCTGTGTATTTTTGTGCCAGAAGGCTCTGAAAAGTAGGTCAAGATGCCAGTTTCTCCCTGTAGGTGACTGAAATTGGTTGCTTGAATAAACTCCCCATGAGGTATATATATCCCATGTGTAATTCTACTTCAAACCAGCTTTTCTCCAGCTGCCTTTGAACATTCAAGGCAAAGCTGCGTTTCTGGTAGAGGTTTGCCATTCTTTGCTACAGCGACGTGGGTTGCTAAGAGGGGACAGTGAGCTGAAAGAATGTGGGTTTGCTTTGGGGTTGTAGTTTACCCATTATAAAAGGAATATATTATAGAAAATTTATAGCAGAGTAGTGCTCTAAAGTTTATAGTCAGGAACAGTAGCCCCCAGCTTTGTCTTTATTCCTACTGCTGGGACCTGACTGCCCTTTACGCTCTGCCTATCTTCTGTGTGAGAGCAAGGCCCTCGTGGGCTCCCCACTGCCTTGGATGGCTGTTTGGAGGCCGCAGAAGACAGGATCTTCCGTCTGAGCTCAAATGACGTGGCTCCTGATTGTCCCCTGTCTAGGGAATTCCTGGGGAAGTCGGAGCCCGAACACCAGCACTGAGGGTAGCCGTGGGAAGGAAGCATGAAGATCTCTGCCCCGCTCTCTTCTTTCTCTGGTCAGCAGCTCGGCACCCTGGAGCCCCTGGAGTGCCAGCACCTGTGATGCTCAGGAGCCCAGTTCGCACCTGGAGAGAGGACTCAGATGCCAGTGGGGCAGGTGGAGACGGCCCCAGCAGACCTGCAGTGCTGGTGGCCTGGTATGGCCCGGTGTGGAAGCCCAGGTGGTGGGCATGTGGCCCTCTCTCCCTCTTGCTGCCATTGAACCTGAGCTCTCGCTGGGGAGACTTAGTGACACAGCAGCCGGCCAGTCACTTGGTCGATCCTGCACTCCCTGAGCTGGACATGGGGAACCCCCGCAGGGTACACGGGGCTTGGGACCACAGTGAGCTTTCCGCCACCACCCACAGAGGATGGGGAGGGCAGGTTCCTTCTGCCCCTTCTGGGCACATGCAGAATGGACTCTAGTGGTTTGACTCTCCCCTCCTGCCCTGCATACCCGCTTGCCTTCCTTGGCCACCCCACCTCCCCTGGGCTGGCCCGGGATCTGCACTTTTCCCATTCTGCCCACCTGTCCACTCACCTGGCCTTAGGCTGAGCATTTATTTAAGAATAAAATCGTGGTGGTGGTCTGTTTGTCTGGTTCTCTGCAAAGTAAGGGTCAGTGATGGCCTGGTTCCCCACCCTCCCAGAGTCCCTGGCTGCTGTGGAGCCACTTGAGACTCTGGGGACTCGGCCTCTTGCTGACCGTCCTCCCCTTTGTCCTCAGGCCACGTGATTTTCCAGTCCTGGAAGCTCAGAAATTCAGTGGGGGTAGGAGATCTTGTGCACCTGGTGCCTGTTCTCCAAGGTCTTAGGCCCGGCATTAGTCGCATGGAAAGGCTGGCGCAGGTCACCTCCTTTCCTTTCTGAGGCACTCAGAGCTACCTACAGCGATTCTCAGATCTGGAAAACACACACCTTTCCTACACGAGGGCTGAAACATAAATGGACTCTCCTCCTGGCCAGGGTCTGCCCCAAGGCCTGTTATCTAATTAGGGCACGTCAGTTTTCTGCTGCCTCGGCCCTCAGTAGCTCAGCTGTGGGCGGTCCCAGGTCACTGTGAGGAATACCTGGGGACATGATACCCCCTCCCCCATAGCCTCTTTTGTGTAACTGGCCTATGTTGGAGGCCTCAGAAGTCGCCAGAGCCAGGCAGCCCCGCTCTGAAACAGATAATGCTCTCGAGTGCAGAGTGGATGGCGGCTTTCCTGGCTCTGTCACGCACTGTGGTCCTGACAACTAAACAGAGGTGTCTTGCTGTCATCTTTTCTTCTCCCTTTTTGAGTATGTAAGCTACCTCAGATCCTCTGTTGGAGGAATGAGGCAGGATGTGATAAAAATATAAAAATTTAACAGATTGAAAATAAGAAACAAGGGTGTGTGGAGCTGCAGCTGCTCTGATACCATCTGTCAGGAGTCGTGTCCAAGGGCCCCACCTGGTGGCTGCTTAGCTTATAACCTCGGCCTGAGCAACTGAGCTTTTACTCTGGGTTTAGACCCTTTGATGGGCTGCAAGATCAATTTGTTATTAGGACCAGTCCTTAGAAAAAGGCAGCTCTGGGATAATGTGGACTCTAAGGTAAGACCTGTGTCCTGGGAGCTCTAGGACAGGGCCCCACAGACCCTGGGGAAGCATGGACCCCGGGTGCTATCCCGGTGCTCCCAGCAAGGCAAACGGTGGGTGCACGGGGAGGTGAGGACGTGAGTTCAGCCTCGCAGTGCCAGCTCCTGCACAACTGTCAGGTGCCGAGCCAGGAGGTCTACAGTGCTCCAGCATCCTGCAGTTCTTGGGTTGAGTAACTCGGAGCCCTGAATTCATTACCCTCCTGATTTTTTTAGTCTGCAGCTACACAATTTAGGGAGGATGTTTGGGCCCCCAAGGGCAAGAGTGGGTGGCAGAAGCAGCAGGTGGGAAAAGGGACCACTGTAATTCACACCAGAAACGTGAACAACACTTTTGTTTTATCCCCAGATGGTACCGTTTACCACATGGCTGGATTTGATGGGTTTTTAACAGTTGGCTGTTCAAGCACACATGGCTCAGTCCCACACACAGTAGGGATCAGAACTGACTTTCTGTCCTGAAATCCAGAACACTAGGCCATAATTTAGTCTAAGCCCCATCCTTGTGTGGGCCCCACCCTGGGCCTCAGGCCTTAGGCCTGTGTCTGCTGCTTCCAATAGGAGCCTTGCAGGGAGAGAAACACAGACCTCACAGCAGCTGACTACGGGCATAAAGGTTTAATCAGTTTTTCATATGAGGCAGTAACAGCGAGTGGTACAATGGTGGTCACCCACAGCCGGCTAGGGGAGTGCAGCCTCACGCACGAAGCCACCACATGGGGTAGCAGATGTTGCCAGGGCATGACCACAGCCCCAGAACGTGCCCCCACTCAAAAGAAGACTCCAAGTGGCTCTGGGAGGCTGTGCACCGTGAACAAATCCTTCCCAGCAAGCGCTGCAGGCCTGGGGGTAAAGGAAGAGCCTCCCCGTGTAACCCAGACCCAGCATGCAAGGTGGTGGAAGCCTCTGAAAGGGTGGTTCCACCTGATTTCCCCAACAACCCCACAGTGAAGGCAGCAGCCTGCTCCCTGCCTTCTCCTTCAGGCAATGCTAAGCAGCTCTTCCCTGGAGGGTCAGCCTTGGGGAGGGGCAAGGCTGAGAAGGGCTCACCCCTACCCCCCAGCCCTGGGCCTGCTGTCCAAGCAGAGTGGAAACTAGGTTCCTGTGGACCCAGTTGGGCCTTGTGTGCACAGCAGGAAATGTACCCCAGGACACGGCAGGAGTCATAGGAAGGGCACGGGTCTGCGGCAGGGGCAGCAGCCCTGCCCCAGGTTCCAGGGCAGGACGGCAACTGACCCATCTCTAGCCAGGCAAAAACATCCACAGCAAGAATCCCTAGACATAAAACTGACCAAATACAATTTTTAGTTGCTAAAACAAGAAAATGCTTCAGCTAGTTTCATTTCCTTGTGAAGCTATTTTTTCTTTTGAATAAGCAAAACCAAGCTAACCTGTATCAGCCAGCCTTGCCCGTCCTAACCACAGCCTCTGAGAACCCAGATACAGGTACCCTCCCTAACATCTGCCACCCCAGTCCTCCTGGGTCCAAGCACCCACACAGTACCCAGGATGGCTACAAAGGGCAGGCTCCATCTGGGTCCTCAACCCACATACCAGATGCAGAGCCGAGAACAGGGCAGGCAGCTGTGAAGATGATGCCTGGAAGCTCTGAGCCCTGCCATCCCAGCATGGCCGGGAGGCAGAGCTGGGCAGGGAGGACAGGGCCATACTGGGTTTGGCCCTGCCCTGTGGCTGGCGGCCCAGGTGCTGCAGAAACACATCCCCGGGCTTCACCATGACCACCTATCCAGACCCCAGATTCCAGAGGCTCAAAACTAAAGACAAGCTCACAGCAAGATGCGTGCAAGGTTTTGGGGGAGCCCAGCGGGCAGCTCCACCTTCCACCCACCCTGCATGGGGCAAGTGGGCTGAAGCTGTGGGGACCAGCTGTGGCTAGCCATGCTGCCCACTCTGCTTTCCTTTGCAGGAAGCTGGGACATCACTCCTAGCACCTTCCTTCCTTGCCCCGCTCCCTCAAAACCACCCCCTCGACCCCCAAGGTCCCTCCTGGAAACACAGCACTGAGAAAGCAGGGGCCACCAGCTGCTGGCAAAGTGCTTAAAAACCGGCATGAGGTGCAAAGTCAGCAAGAAAACAGAAGCCCGCTGGTCCCAAGCGAGCAGGGCACCTAGTCCCTGGGGATGTTGGGGGGCGGGATCTGTAGGTCAGAGGGCTCCACGCCCCAGATGTCCCGGGCATACTCTGTGATGGTCCGGTCACTGGAGAACTTGCCCGAGCAGGCTATGTTCCTGATGACCTTCTTGGTCCACTCCTTGGGGTTCTGTGGAGAAGGAGAGACTGGTTCATCTCTGAGGGCTCCTAAGACAGCCCGAGCTCCATAACTGGAGGACTGTTCCCAGACGAGCTCTGAGCCCCAGGGCAGCTTGGTGGAAGAAGGGGACCCCCACTGGGCAGAAAAGCCACCAAATAACTAAAGACAAGGGGCGAGGAGCCTCAGAGAAGGCCCCGGCTCTCGAAAAGCTCCATGTTCTGTTGGGGAACGGCTCTCACTACCAATAGTATCTGCCCCAGGTGGATCCACTGCCCATAGGAAACGGCTAAGCACGCTCCGTTCAGCCAGGGCTTTAGTCAGTCACGCATTCTCCAGAGCCTCGCAGCTGCTGCAGCCAGCACCAGGCAGCGCCTCCCAGAGATCAGCCCAGACCCAGCCAGGGAAAATCCCCCCCAGAGCCCTGCAGGGCATGCAGCTTCCAGGCCACATGTTCCTGTTCTTGGCCATGAGGAGATGTTTCCTCAAGAGAGGGTGTGACGGGAACGGCTTTCCTAAAGGCAGGCAGGGCCGGCTCATGACAAATCAGAACACAAACCCCTTTGGGCTAATCCAAAACCTGCTTAAACAGTTTGGGAAATAAACAATCCGATCCAACAAGTCCACACGGACCAGCCCAGTTGCCCCCTCAGCCTCTGGGGCCCGAGAGCCTTACCCGGTACAGCTGGTCCACCTGGGCCTGGCACTGCATATACGCTTCGTAGTCTGCAAACACCTTGAACCTGAGACAGGAGACAAGAGGCTGGGCCAGGGAGATGGGCAGCAGGGAACCCTGCCCGGAGCAGCCCGCCCAGCTGTCCCAAGGAGGAAGTCCACAGCGGAGGTCAGTAACTGCGTCTTCCTGGCTCCAAGTGGGGCAAGGTGAAGGGACCCCACTCAGCTCACTGGAGCCAGGCTATGTCCAGGCCCTCTGGCCACAGGGTTTCTCTATGAGCAACACTTTTGTCCTGGGATGTTATTTTAGAAAAAATCTTATTCCAATCCAACTTTTTTACTATCTCAGTCTTAAAATTATTTCTGCAAAGACACCCTCAGCTGGGTAAATAGCAAAAAGTATTCATGATTTAAGTGATCTCTGGGCCCAACACTGCTTTAAAGAAATTGGAGTTTACGGTGCATAATCCACACTCAGGCCAGAGCTGCACGTGCCAAGAGGGTCCTGTGTAGACAGCACAGGCTGACATCACCTCAAGGGGCGCCCGCTGGAGAAAAGCGTCTCCATTTGCTGTCTATTCGCAAGTCTAAGTGGGAAGTGCCAAAATATGAAACGGTGATTTGCAGTTCCTGATGTTCTGAACAAAAATGTAGGATTTATGAATACACAAGTGCATTTTGTTTATTACTGAGTCAGAGCACACGTCATAAAATCCGCAATTCACAATTTGAAAGTCCTTCCTTCATCAGGGTCCAGATTCTAGCCCAGATGCCCGCACATGGTCACAATCTGGCCTCACTGAAGCCAGTGCGTGACACAGTCACCAAAGAGCAACAGACAAAACTGACCCAAAGCAACTGCAAGTGGAAGAGAGGTTCATTCTCAGACTCTCCAGATCCAGCTTTGACCAAGAGGATAAAGAACTACGTTGGGTGCAAATGGCGCTGCCTTCCTGCTATGCCTCAGTAAGTCTGACTCTAGATATGCCGTAGCCGTGTGTTAACTGGACTGTAATAAAGCACTAACCACATTATAGTTTTACTGTGTCACAAGTTAAATCTATTTTAACCACTGCACGTCACCTGCGCTGACACCTGCCAGGGCCCCACAGCCCCCAACCCCCTCCCAGAGGTTCCCAGGCCGTCCTCCCCGCACTCCCTCCCTGGCCTCCTTGGGACACAGCTGTCCCTGGACCTCCAACCAGCCCAGCTGACACCACCACTCACCCAGGCTCATCCAGGCTTGTCCAGGAGGCCATCCCCCACCGCCAGGGGCCCCCTGAGACACTGCCAGAGTCCATAGCAAACCCCAGCCCTGGTTTAGTTGGGATGCTCCTGGCTGGCATCTGAGGCTGTGCCCAGCAACGTCTCAGGGACTATGGTGAGAAGGTGTCTCAAAAGCACAGGTTCCACCCTTCAAACAATGTGGAGTTTTCAACCCAGGAGGAGGACTGGACTGTCCATCCCAGTTGTTGGAGACCCAGCAGCTGACTGGGGGGGCGGGGGGTGGCGAGGAGGGAGGGGCTGGCCCCACCTGTCATGGTACATCAGCATATTGACAACATCCTTGAAGCAGTTTGGCTCCCTGGGAGAAAAGAAGCCACTGCCGATCTGGTCCACAGCCTGCTTCAGCTCAGGCAGGCAGTCGTAGAACTCTCTGGCGTTGTACCTGCCGGGATATGGGCCCAGGGTCAGTGGCTGGTGCCCCCAGATGAGGAGCCTGAGGGGCAAGCAGCAGCCTCGTGCATGCCCAGCATAGCCCCTGCCCAAGGACGGGCCCCACGGCTTGAGACCGCGTAGTCCAGGGCCCTTGGGCTGGGGCTGGCTCAAGTGTTGTGTACTGTCAGCATAAAATCAATTCCACCTGCTTCTTTAACTGTTAAAGAAATGTTACTAGCAGACGTACAGTGACACACATGCCTACGCAGTGTCCCTACTGGAGAGGCTGCTCAAGAACCTGCCTTACCCCGAGATCCTGAGCAGAGCGTCTAAGGACAGAGGCTGCCCTGAGGGTGGGGGCTGGGCCGGGGCCTCCAGCAGGGGAGGGAAGGAAGGACGCCCAGAGGGATGAGGCTGGCCTGGGGAGTGGGGGAGGCATGCAGGGCCCAGGCCCCCGACAGGCAGGAAGAGCCTGGAGAAGGGCATAGGAAGGGCGCCGGGCACATGCACATTCTGGTTGACAAGGCGCGGCTTGGACTTTTAGGTGACCTTTGAAGTTTCACCCAAATGTGCCTAAGGCCTCTCCAACTCCCTGAGTGCTTTGAGGCAGTCAGACAACACTGTCTCCTCTTTTTAATTATCACTTGGAATCAGGCCAGCGAGAAGCTCCTCAGGAAGGTCAAGGTCATGAAAAATCAGGAAAGATTGAGAAGCTGTCGCAGACCCGGTGAGGCCAGGGAGACCTGGGGACCAGACACAATGAGGTGTCCTGGATGGGATCCAGGGACAGAAAGGGACATTGCAGAAAACCCAATGAAACCGGAACAGAGCATGGGTTGAATGCACAACGCACCACTGCGGTTTGCTCATTCTGTCAATGCACCGCGCCGCGCTGTAAGCAACGGGAACCTGGGAGGAGGGCATGGAGCTCCTGGTACTGTGTCTACAATTGTTCTGCGAACCTGAAATTACTCCAGAATAGTCACTATTGTAACTATCTGTAACTACTACAAATTAGGCCAGGGAACCTTGACAGTGGGCAAGGCTCAAACCCCCAAATTGATGGAGTGCTCCTGGCAACAAAGGTGCCCGCACTGCTCCGGCCCTGGCTCTGTGGGGTACCTGCACTCTGGGCAGTGGTGTCCCTCGAGGAGGAGACCCTTCCCCACCCACAAAAACGAGGGCCTTTGCTGAGGAAGGAGCCCCAGTCTGGACCCCATGGACTTGGTCATGGAGTCACAGACAGGAGTGGCCAAGCTCCCACCCAAGCAAGCCTCTCCGGGCCCCACCCCGGGCCCACGAAGTGAACGGGTACCCTGGCAAGCACATGGCCACTGGGCAGGCACTGACCCTGGCACACAACGGCCTGGCCCTGAGAGCCCATCCCCACCCTCTGCCCCCAGCCCAGCAGCCTTCATGCGTCCCCCACACCGCCAGGTGCCCTGATGGCACAGGAGGGGGTCGCACCCTTTCCGGTCCAGGGCTTCGACATCCTCCACCCGCAGGCCAAAGATGAAGAGGTTCTCGGCCCCAGCCTCCTCGGCCATCTCCACGTTGGCGCCGTCCATGGTGCCGATGGTGAGGGCCCCATTGAGCATGAACTTCATGTTGCCTGTGCCCGAGGCCTCGGTGCCCGCGGTGGAAATCTGCTGAGACAGGTCGGCGGCCGGGATCACTGCAAGGGGAGCGTGGAAGGCAGGTCAGCCCAGGCTCCCCAATGCACACCAGAGCTGCAGTGACAGCGCCCAGAAACACATCCCTTCCTTCCAGCCCGAGAAACACAACCTGCCCCCATAGCAGGAGCCGCCAAAGCAGGGACCACCATCCTGAGGCTGCCGAGTCCACCAATCAGGACGAGCCAGTCCTGGGCACTCCAGGGCCAGGGCATCGTGAGACCAGGCAGCTGCCCTGCTCTACTCCCACCATGGCCCACACTGGGCACTGCCACCGCCTTTGCAGGACTCCCCTCCCTCACCTGGGCAGCCTGAGGCAGAGGGGCCAAGATGGAGACTCAAGGAGAAGCCCCAGGTGGCGAGGGACCTTTGCATTGCAATCTTCCAAGGACCAGGCCATGCCAAGTCTGGGGGGCCCATCCTGGCTAGCTCGTGACATCGTTCCCTTGATCCCCACAACACTGACATCCTCTCTGTCAGCTCATGGGCCCACTGGATAAATCCAGACTCTCACGGGACCAGAGAACTGGGAAGGGCGAGAGCAACTTCCTCGTGTTCATCTGCACAGCAGTTACTCCGGGTGTGTGCAGTGGGAACAAGTGGCCAGCCAGATGTGGTGGCCCGTGCCGTCTCTCCATGACACTGCAGGCGGGAGGCAGTGCCTGTCCCTCAGGGGACTGGTCACACCGTGACCCAGGCACACCATGCTGGACACCCTGCTCCCAGGGCCCTTAGCTCGAGTTGCAGCTGCCGATGCCACCTCCACACCCAGCAATCACCAGAGCCCGGCCCTTTCCGGGGTCTGGGGAGTAGGCTGGGCCTCTGGAGATCAAGGTCACGCCCAGCTGCTGGGACACAGAAAGAAAGGCATCTCCTGCCCTGGCAGCACAGCCCGGATGGTGGCAGCAGAGCCGCCGGGGAGAACTGGATGCCCCGAGGCCAGCCATACAGACGAGCAGGAGTCCGCTGGCCCCAAAACAAAGGTGAGGAGGGGGAGGTCCAGGCAGCAGAAACAACAGTAAGATGCTGCGGTCAGAAGTTCAGGGAGGGACTAACCACACCACCAAAGTTCCTGGCCAACGCCTGAGCCAAGCCTATCCCTCAAATCTTCCTCAAGGGCCCCCATGCACTAGGCGCTGCTCAGCAGGGAGGGGCAACGCTGGACACAGACAGCAGCCACACCACAGGGACAGTGCTCACGGGCCAGAGCTCAAAGGGAAACAGCGAATGAGCCTGCAGGTCATCACCGTGACAAAGCCTGGAGAGCAGGAGCTGCTCAGCCTCAGACACACAGGCGCCTGGTACGCAGTGGACGGGGGGACTCGAGAACCCCAGGCTCAGATTTCCCTCCACCTGGCAAATCACCGTCCTGCCAAGAAAGGCCCATCAGGCCAGAACGATGTGCTCCAAGGCACAGGGTGGCACGTGTCTCCCCAGGACCAGCCCAGAGTGCAGTGGCCCAGACTAAACCTGCTGTGCCGGGCCCTGAGCCGCCCTCAGAAAGCACAGAAGAGGCAGGCACTGGCCACGCGGGAACCAAGACTGCACCTGGCGAGCAGACAGGGCGCTGGGCAGGAGCGTCTTGTCGGGGGGAGGAGCGCATCACCACTGGCCAGGTGCATGTCCTGCCCACAAGAGGCGCCCAGGGGCAGCAAGGGGCAGCGAGGCCCAGTGAGGCAGGAGGAGAGAGGAAGGCAGGCGACACTGGCCAGGGCAGGTACGAGAAGACAGAGATCAAGGATCCTCAAGGCTGCAGACGAACTCCACCCGCACCATGCAAAGGTGCCCCCCGGGCAGGCTGCTGTACGCCACTGTGCACACAGAGGCTGCCAGCCTGGGGCCCGCTCCAGCCGGGACTAGCCGTCCAGGCAGCGCTGAGCTGGCTGAAGCGAGAAAGACTCAGGCCAGCTCTGCCTCCCACCCCATCCCCCGGCAGGAGTGGGTTTTCTGCCCCACACAGGCTTCCAGGGCTACCTTTCTCAGCCAAGGACACTCGGTAGTTCTCCAGGAAGATCACTTTGAGCCTGTCGCCCACAACTGGATCATGATTGACGACGTCGCCAATAGACGTGACCAACTTGATGATCATCTTGGCCATGTGGTAGCCGGGAGCTGCCTGGAGTGGGGAGCAGAGAGTGAAGGCTTCGGGTATGCAAACACTTTGCTCTGGGTCCCTGGAGGCTCTAGTGGCACTCCTGGTCGTCAGGGTCCGCGAGGGGCTGAGCCCAGAGCCGGAGATCACACTGGGCCGCGCAGCCCCACTGAGGGAAGGGCCTTGGCACTGGCCCCAAGCACACCTCATGGCGGTCACATCATGCGTGTCTAGAAATGTGTCAACCTCAGGTTTAATTTTTTGATTCTAGTCAGTTTTTCAAAAATTACAAGATAAAACAAACAAGGACGTCCTACAGCCATGACTTGGAGGAAACAGAGAACTAAGGAACACAGCAGAGGGATGCAGTCAAAGCCAGGCTGGGGAAGACTAACAACCCAGCTTCCGTAACAAACTGCAAGGAACAAAGCAGGGAGGCGTGAAAGCAAACTGCAGATGAAGGGACTGAGACGGGTCACCCAGTCTCAACGTGAGAAGCGTGCTGGGTCCCAACTCACGCCAACGGTCAGGAATATCTGAAACTGTAATAAGACAACTGGGCCCGGGGCCTGAGCGGACGCTTGATGACACGCAGGCCCCCTGTCCAGTGTTCTGGGCGTGACGGTGGGTTACCAGGGGCGACGTTTCAAGGTCTATATCTCTCGTGGCTCTGGAGGAAAACACCATTTTATGAAGTATTTAGGGGTGAAGCGTTAGACTGTCTGGAATTTACTCTGCAGTCTGGAGGATAGGTTTATGGATTTTCTGCAGTCCTTCCGACTTTTCTTTAGGCTTCAAATTTTTCATAACAACATTTAAAACTTTTTTTAAAGTCCATATATCTATGGACTTTACATAGTGAAATACTGATGACAAAATGACATGGCTGTCCAAAATTTGCTTCAAAAATATTAATAGCAGGTGACAGGGGAGGGGGCAGAAACAACGTGGCCCTGACAGGGCTGAGCCCGCGGGTGCCTCACTCACCCCCGTCCACCTCTGCACACGCTGAGGGCAGGCGACGGCAGCCCCCCAGCCCGGCGCAGGTGCCAGTGCCCTCGGCGTGGAGGGCTGAGGCGCCCCGTGCAGTCTGGACTCGCTTTGAGCCGTGGCTCCAGGAAGCCCCCGTGAGGACGCTGCACCCCACAGTATCCGCACCTTCCCTGAGGAAGACCAGGCTGTTGGGCGCAGTGGCGGGAGGTGGGAACACCGCCCCAGAGGGGCGAGTGTGATGATGTGACTTGGGTAGCGGGTCCAGTACTCCACAAGTACGTGTCACAATAAATGAAACACAGTGGAACCAAGCTGCGCCTGCGGTGGGCTCAGGTGATCAACGGGGCAGCCACGGCCACCCCCACCCATTCGGGTACCCTGAAACCCTGTGGGTGCGCAGAGAAGGCATCACAACCTCTGATGGGGACTGGCCCTCAGGGCTGGGGGCCGTTGCCCCTGTGAGCTGGGCAGGCAGGTTCCCATCCACTTCCCTCCTCTGCCTCCAAGTGTGAAGGGTCCCTTGGCCCCACAAGCACACCGCAGGGCCAGCTGCTGCTAGTATTCTGTGTGCACACCGGCCCCAGGCTGCCCGCGGCGTCCTGCCTGCAGGGCGGTGGGTCCCGAGGGGGTGCAATGGCTCCACAAGAAGCGAGCAGGCTGTCCACCAGCGGTCCCTGGGCCAAACAGCAAAAAAAGGAGCAAAGAGGAAGTCACCTCACCTTGCCCCCAATCATAACAGTCCTGGGCACAAAGGCCTTGGCCGGGTCTTTCTTTATTCCTGTAGGACAAACAGGAGAGAGTCATGTGAGGCAAACGAGCCAGACACAGCCCTACCCTGCACTTGGGGACCTAGCAATATCAGGTTTGGCTACATGTTCGCTTGGGTGTGAGCAACGCAGGTCACTGGCCCCAGGAGCCTGCCACTTACAGGGACGAGGCCACCCTGAGGTCTGCCAGCCAGGACCCCTGACGAGCTGTGCAGCTGCCCTGAGCAAAGACACCCTCCCCAAGGGATTGCAGGAAAAGCTGCACCTGTGTTTCCAGAAAAGCCAAACCCAGAAGCCTCTTTGGGTCTGGTCAAGGCCCCTGTACATGAAGGGCACTTTTGTGTTTTTAAACCATGTTTTAAACACACTGTTTTTGTGACACAGAAAGAATGAGAGGTGACCTCGGTATTGTGGTTGTGGCGCCATCAGCCCACAAGGGGCTCCGGGCGAGACCCCGAGGCTCCCCCTGGCTGGGACGTGGGCTGAGAGCCCCTCCTAAAGTTCCCTGACAGAAGGGGACGGGAATGTCCACAGCGGCCCAGCACACGGGTCAGCGTCTGCGGATTTCGGGGATATGGCTACACGAAAGGGACGAGAGGCAGCCCTAGCCAGCCAACGAGCCAGGAACCAGCCAGGGCTGCAGGGAGTCAGGTCGTTTTTAACATCTGGCTTCAGGTTCAGAAGGAACATGGCTGTCCCTCAGTTCTCAATCTTCCCGCTTCTGGAAATGAGAACAACATGGAGAACAGGAAAAACTAAAACCACAACTAACAACATCACCAAAACTAGGAAAGAGGGAAACCACGCATGCAGAGTCATCATTCAGTAACTCCTGCCAGGTTATGGACACTCAGGGGGACAGGGCCTTGGGAGCCCCAGCCCCTCAAAAGTCCTGAGGGGCACAAAGGAGCCCCAGCGAGGCGGTCGGCAGGCCCAGGCAAACACCTCTCCTAAAAAGGAACCTGGGTCTGGGTGTCTGGTGCAGCCTTCCCTTCAGCAGGGGCTTGGAGAGACGTGGACACAGGGAGGCGCCACGGGACAGGCAACGCTGGCCCAGCGGGAGAGCTGGGGAGCCGGGGCTGCCCTGGAGCACTGGGCAGTCAGCACACGCAGCCCCACACGACAGAAAGCAGAAGGAGCCAACTCAGAAAGAAAACCACAAAGCCGAAACCCAAGACCTGGGGAGACTGGGCCAGAGACCGGCACGCGAGAGAAGCAGCATGGCCCGGGAAGCAAGTGCAGCCAGCCAGGGAGGGACTCGAGAAAACAAACACAACAGGACAAGGAGGACTTAAAAAATACTCAGCAAGAAGTTGATACCAAGAAGACAGATAGGTCAACAAAACCAACCACACACCTCACTGGAATCCCAGAAGAAGAAAACCAAAGCAACCGAACCAAACGAGTGTTTTAAAGATGTTTCAAGAAAACATCCTAGAGCCAAGGTGGGAGGATCACTTGAAGTCAGGAGTTCAAAACCAGCCTGAGCAAGAGCGAGACCCCGTCTCTACCAAAAATAGAAAAATTAGCCGGATGTGGTGGCGCCTGTAGTCCCAGCTACTCGGGAGGTTGAGGCAGGAGCATCACTTGAGCCCAGGAGTTGGAGGCTGCAATGAGCTGTGATGATGGCACTGCACTCTGCCCTGGGCGACAGAGCAAGACTGTCCCAAGCAAACGAAAAAACACAAGAAAACACCCTAGAAATAACACAGTCCATCAACCTATTCAAAGAGCACCCCAAGCATTAGGGGAAAATGCCTCATAACAGTCAACATTGAGACGTAGCAATGAGATGTCACTTCTATTTTTTAAGAGACAGGATCTGACTCTGTCACCAGGCACCACCCAGTACAGTGGTGTCATCATAGCTCATAGCAGCCTCAAATGCCTGAGCTCAAGTGATCCTTCTGCTTTACACCAAGCAGCTGGGACTACAGACATGTGCCACCACGCCCAGCTAATTTTTTTATTTTTTGTAGAGACACAGTCTCACTATGTTGCCCAGGCTGGTCTTGAACTCCTGGGCTCAAGTGATCCTCCCACCTTGGCGTCCCAGAGTGCTAAGATTACAGGAGTGAGCCACCACGCCGGGCCAGTGATCACTGTTGACATCAAGGAACTAGGACTGCTTCAGACTTCTCCATGGCCACACCCCCCAGACAGGGGTGGTGCTGGGACCCAAAAGGTACTCAAGGAAGAAAGTGGAGCCCAGACTGGCATCTCCAGCCAAACCGCCCTCGTGATGGAAAACTACTGTTACGAACTACTGTTGTGAACAAGCAAGGACTCGGGGAAGGTTGTTCTCACAAGCTGCTGCTATGAACTGGAGACAAACCCAGCCAGTGGGGGGGACAGGACTTTGCCAAAGGACTGGTGGTGAGTATCAAATGTATTTATCTGCAGATCGAGACAAAAATGAAGTCAGGGACAGGATAAAGGGCACAGTGGCAATGCTGTGAGCTCTGACAGTGGGGGAACGAGACGTATGCACACGTGCACACATCGTACACACACACATGCACATACATGCACGAATACACGTGCATACACGTACATGCACACGCAGACACGAGGAAGGGGGAAGGCGAGGTGGGAGTGAACACGGGCCTGCTGGCTGCCTTATGTGAACAGCTGAGCCCAGCAAGTCACTCACAGCGGAAGACGGAGCAGAGGCAAGGCACACCAACGCACACTGAGGCACGTGGGCGAACGCCAAGAGATGCCACCGCAACTGACCGCAGGTGAGGGCCGGAGCAGAAGGAAGGGAAGGCAGGGCCAGCAACTCGCTGCTGCTCACAGAGGGGACTGGGCATTGTGCAAGCGGGGTGCTCGGGGACACCACAGGGAAGATGCAGAACGTCACAACCACAGAAGAAAAACACGCCAAAGAAAAAAGACACCAAGGTTCCTGTGAACTACTGTGTGGGCAGGAAGTCCCAGGCCAAGCGAAGGGCGTCCCTCAGCCCCGCACGGCGCGGGGTCCCCAGGGGCGCAGCCTCCAGCACCTGCCCTGTCACCTGTGCGTCTCGAAAGGGCCCAGATCCCCCTCCGCCTGATAGGGGCTTGTTTAAGGGGAGAGCTAACGTTCCTGGGAAGAGCTTTGTATCTTGAAAGCAGCATTTGTGGTTCCACGGGTTTATAAAATATGTACTGTATTACACCACAAAATTTTAAAAATTTACTTTTTAAGGTTTTATTATTTTATTTATAAGCCTAGCAAATGTTCATGCTGACCTTTAGGAAGACTTTGATTCATGTTTGTTTTCATAATTAAATGTCCTTAAATAATTTAAGGCACACATGCAAATTTAACATCTATTATTTTGTTTTTTGTAAACTTTAAATGCCTCTAATAAGCACAGTCTTTCCAAATAAGATAAAACTCACAGAGATAATGACTTGACTTAAACTAAAAACCAAACTAAACGTGAAACCCAGTCTCGGAGTTCCATGAAGTCCTGGGAGTGCTCCAGGCCTCCGCTGAGGAATCGCGACCCTGCAGGCCTTGCGGAGCAGTTAGCTGTTCCCTTGCTGGGGTCAGGCCCTGGCTGGGACCACACAGGAAAACACAGGGCTACTGCTTTAAATAAATGTGCCACGTCACACACACGCAGATTTCACAGCCCCTGGCAGTGAGGAAGGCTGGGTCTGAGGAGGAGCTGGCAGGAAGGGGCGAGCCTTGCACCCAGCTTCAAGGTTGTAGGGGGGAAGCCGGGGTGGGGCGCGGGGGACACCCAGGGCCACACTCACGGTTGTACAGGGTGATGACGTGCAGGCAGTTCAGCAGCTGCCGCTTGTACTCGTGGATCCTCTTTACGTGCACGTCGAACATGGAGGACGGGTTGATCTTCACCTTGTACTCCTTCTCCAGGAAGGCCGAGAACTTCAGCTTGTTCTCCTGGGAGAGGGAAGGGGGCGCACAGCTGCAGAGTTCACGGGATCAGCCCTACCAGCTCCCGAGGGCCCACTGACGCTCAGCTTCCTGAGAACATCTCTGCCCAGCCAGGGACGCCATGGGGAGGGGGTGGCAGGGTGCAGGGGCCAGAGCCAGGGTGCAGTGACAAAGAAGATGGACCCACATCAGGAGTGGTGGAAAAAAACGAGAAACTAGCCCAGAGAGCACACCTGGAGCTAAGCGAACAGAGGGCGTGGGAGAACGTGGCACGCGGCAGTCAGGGCAGCACAGGAGCCGGGACGGTTTCAGAGATTACAACAAAGAACTATCTCTGGGCCTCCAGGAGGTGCCGCCGCCGGCACAGCAGAGGGACGGGCTCGGCACCTGCCACGCCAGCTGTGCAGACGGCGCTCGCTCCCGCCGAGGTTTGGAAGGCTGCAGTGACCCGGCCCTGGTCTGGCCAACAGCTTGGGCAGCCCTACGCAGCTCTTCAGGGGCAGAGAGGGCATCATGCTGGAATCGGCTTCTAGAGGCTTCCCTATAGAACTGCTGACCATGGCAGCAGGTCAAGGTGTGGTCAGGGCTGGCCTGGGGGTCTGCGCTTGCCCAACCGCCAGCCATATGACCAGAAAGCTGAGTGGGATGGAGCGGGAAGGGCCACAGGCTGGTCCACACTCGGGGCCTGGTGGGGACGTGGGCTATGGGCCTACCTGCTTGACCTTGGCCACGTCCCTGATGAAGGCCTCGTCACTGACCAACGGCAGCAGCTTCTTCAGTTGGCTCAGGTCCGTCAGGAACTCCTCCCCGATTTTCTGGAGAACAGGGACGCGTGGTCCTGCTCACTGAGGGACTCAGCCTTCTGAAGCAGGGCCCTCTGGCCGCCAACCCTGCTCTCGTGTTGCCCACGCCTCTGCTGTGCTCTGGGACCTGCGTGCCCCTCCGGACGGACGCCTCAGGCTGGGCCATGTAGCCGCCAGGGCAGCCCCTCCTGCCTCCCCTGGTCGGAACTGAGCACACTCCTTGGCAGCTCCCCTGGGGTGTCCTAGTCCCACCATGTAAACGCACAAGCCCCTCGCAGTCCCCAGTTCCCAGGGCTCCTCCCGATGCCCTCCGCCTGCACGGCCACCACAGGTGTGAATATGTGGGTGCCTTCTCCTCATCGGGGCAGGCGGCCACGCCGAAGCCAGCGCCTTGTCAAGGACCTTCCCGCTTCAGGCTCCCTGTGCAGCCCTGCAAACGCCCGGCCACCTCCCTGCCCCTCCTCACCCCACCCGCCATGGCCTGCACAGGAGCCATGAGCCTTCCGGGTCCCTGGGGCCCATCTTCAGGCACAGGCATCGCACCAGATCTGTCCCCAGAGCGCTGCTCCCTCCCGGCCTCAGCCTTCTCAGGGGAGCCTTGCCTGACCACAGGCCCCAGGTGGGCAGGCCCCCCAGGGCAGGCCCTCGCGGCTCCACCCTCCCAGCCCCTGCTGTGGCCTTGCCTCCAGCACATGGGTGGCATCTGAGAGCGCTCGCGTCCCTCCAGAGCACGCGTGTGAACAGCAAACAGGCCACGTCTCTGGCTGACAGTCCTGGTACAGTCCGGCCTCTGGCCGCACCCCAGCCCTTCCTGAAGCCTGGCCAGCTTCTGAACCTGCACACGGGCTGCCAGGCCTGCTGACCGACTGTCCAGGGGCCTCACCCCTCATGGCCAGGAGCCCCTGCAGGTCCCCATGTTAAGGACCTGCCAGCTCTGCAAGGGACTGATGACGCTGCCTGATGGCAGCTCAGCCTCTAACTGCCCACGGCCTCCTGGCCCAGTGCTCACCTCCACAATGACATCCGCCAGCCCGGGGTTGCACAGCAGCAGCCACCGTCGGGGAGTGATGCCATTCGTCTTATTCTGGAACTTTTCAGGCTCCAGCTCATAAAAATCCTTAAAGCTACAAACAAAACAGGGAACTGTCTCAAATGCTGTGTTTTGAACCAGGTGAGCGAGAGAAACTAACGACCTTTTAAGGAAGTCCCCTGGAAGGTTCTGAAGCTTGGTGTTTCCGTTTTGTTTTCTGAAGAGAACAAAGCAATTAACGACACCGCGCGCTTCAGGAGCCACGAGAAAGTGGCGCGCCTACTTTGGTTTGGTGTCAGCTAAAACCTCACGGTTGTCTCCACAGCGGTCTGTACGGAAACAGGTGTCCAGGTGGGGACTGTACTGGCTTTAGGGCCCGAGAAACTGCGGTCGGTTTCCTCATCTGTTAATTGGGGGAAACGTCCAACTCAGAAGTTTGTTGTGGGATTAACGCACAGAGCCCCTTGGCACAGCACCAAAGCACAGCCCCCCATATGGACCGATTCGGTCTAAGGCCCCCCAACCCTGGGTGCTGCCCGGCTGGAGCTCACAGTAGGTGCTCAGTAGGTGTCTGGCAAAAAAAAAAAAAACCAGAGAACTCCTAGATCACATCCCATCTAAGAGGGGAACAGCAAGAAGGTCTGACCTGAGAATCCCACCTTACGCCCAGCAGCGAGCCCGGCCTGCCAAGCCCCTGCCCACAGCCCTGCGCACTCAGCCAGTGCTGGGTGGACCAGGAGCAGGGAGCCTCCCCTGGACCCCTGAGAATACTGGGAGCTCGAGCGAGGAACAGGTGATAAGGAGACAAAGTCTCTCCTCACGTGGCCCAGAGTCAGAGCCCACAGAGGCCCTTGTGTTAGCCAGTGGGCACACAAAATGGTGCCACCCTGGCAGGGCTCGCCAGGCGGCTCCTAGGGAGGGTGGGGTGTGTGTGGCATGCCTCGGACACGGTGTGTGGCGGGTGGTTCTAGAGGGCCGCCCAGGCGTCAGGAGGAGTGGGCCCTGGCTCAGGGAGCGTGTACGCACACAGACTGCTTCACGATCTCCGAGTGGATCCTCGCCACACCATTGACAGCATGGGACCCGATCACGCACAGGTGGGCCATGTTGATCCGCTTGCAGTCCCCTTCCTCAATCACAGACATCCTCCGCAGGCGGTCCACGTCCCCGGGAAACAGGGCAGCCACATGCTGGCGCAAAGACACAAAGAGCCATGGTTCGGTGACGGGGGCCCACGGTGACCAGCCGATGGTCCACCACCAGCTGTGGGATGCTCTGCTGCCTCCAGGGAAAGTCCAAGGGCTGCTACAGCTGGATCTGCACTCAAGTGGTCCGGTCCCTGCACACACCTCAGACCCACCTTGCAGGGGCCCCGACTCTAGCAGGACGCACACCTCCACGAGCCTCAGCCCAGGAAGGGCCCATTCCAGCCTAGGGATCACAAGACTGCTGGGTCTGAGGAAGGGACCCCATCGGGGAGGACACGCCACTCAACTTTCAAGGAGGAAGCTGGGACGGCTGCCCCCTAATCTGAGTGCAGTGCATTCAACCACATTATCACCAGGGGGACAGCCAGTTTTTCACCAAAAGGTTAAAAAGGCAACTACAATTACACCTGAATTCTAGGTTCCCCCATTCCTGTATCATTATCCTGTCTGTAGGTCACACAGTAAAAGACAAATGGTGCTTTGTCCTTGAATTGCCCCAGTGCTGCGAGGACGCCCATGGGACAAAGGGCTCTGACAGTCTGGGAACAGACACTTACACCTAAAGCCTCTTCTGGAATGGGAACATTTATACAAAGACCTGAATCCACGACTCCCACACACACAGCAGGGGTCAGGCGTGGGGACCAGCGAACAGCTCTCCCAGGGGCCAGCCCCAGACCCCAGCATCCTCTGCTGGACAGAGGCTACTCTGTTTGAGGAGTGAAGCACCTCCTCTCCACGCGTGGATCCCACCACCCCAGGAGCACAGCCCCGGCCGGGCGACACTCACGTCCAGGTGCCGCTGGTTGATGGCGTAGATGATGTCCAGGTGCCGCGGCAGCAGCTTCTCGAACATGGACACCGGCCAGCGCTCCAAGGCCTCGGGCAGCACAGTGTGGTTGGTGTATGCACAGGTCTTCTTTGTGATCTCCCAGGCCTAGACCATTCAGAACATTCCGGAGTGCTTAGCACAGGTCTCTGGCCAGATGCCCAGGCATGGTGAGTATCTAGGATCATAGGCAGACGCAGCTCCCGCCAGGGAGGGCCACTGTCCCCTCTGCTCCCCAGGGCGAGTCTGCGCCTCCCAGAGCCTGATATGTGCTCTTACTTTGCCGGCACAGCCCACGTAAGTCTGACACCCTGAGCTGGAGTGTGACACGCACTGAGTGATGCTCACGCGAGACCTGAGAATCACCTTCACTCTGCCTTTTGGCCACTGTTTTTCGCTGGTAAACCAAGGGGCCGCCGAGCAGTTTTCTATTTAATTTCCACTAAACGGCCCTGACACCAAGGTGAGGAGGACACTGGCTACTACATGGCCCTGCCCTGCCAGCCGGGACTGGGTGCCGCAGGGGCACAGCCTCGCCGAGTGACCAGAGGGACGGGCGAATGTTTCCATAAAATGGAGTAAAAAAAAAATTGTTTTACGGCTCCACACGTCAGTTTAGAAAGACTAGAAAGCTAGGTGCGCGAAACCCTGCTACGTTATAGGATCCAAGGCCATGAGAACAGGTTCGTAAACATGGAAAGTACACGTTTCTTAAAACTTAACACTTCTGGGTTTTTTGGGCCAAACTTTAAGATGAGAAAACATACACGAGAAGCCCTAAGAAGTCTCGGAATCCCTTCCCTGTCCCTGGCACCCTGTCCCCACTGCTTCCCTGTCCCACAGAACATCCATCTCCTGGAACCAGACCCCTTCGTGGCTCACACCACCCCCAGGGTGCCGTCCACAGCTCTCCCAGGGCCCTCCAAACCCCCCACGTCGAGCTCAGCCGCTCAAACCATGGTCCCCGGGGCCCGAGGCCTGCAGAGGGTGCTGACTTTTCTCCTGAGCACACACCTTGTCCCAGTCCACCTTCTCCACGTCCACCAGGATGCGCATGAGCTCGGGGATGGAGAGCGCAGGGTGGGTGTCGTTCAGCTGGATGGCCACCTGCGATTCACACAGGGTCAAGTTCAGTGCCCCGTCCTATACGTGCAGCCCTAGGTGTGAAGGAGTCGGCCCAGCCTGTCCCACCCCTGAGGAGCCTGAAGAGCCCAGAGGGGACTTGGGGAGGGAGTCGAGAGGACACAAGCAGCTCAGCAGCAGGTGGCAGATGTGGGAGGAGCCGCAGGACCCAGGGCCCTCCCTGCTGGGTGCTGGGGCTCGCTCTCACCTAGGCCATGAAGGATTTGTTCAAAATGACTGCACTTAACCAGCCAAGCACATCTTTGTGACTTTGCCACAGGAACCTTTTACAATGTCCCTTACTGCCTTGACTCCAGAGACAATCTGGTGGCCCTTGTCCCAAGAGGAGGGGACCGAGTGGGGTCCCAGCCCAGGACGAGGAGACTCTGAGACAAGAGGCACATCCTGCTCCACTCTTGCCCCTCCCGGGACATGAGGAAGAAATCTCAAGAGCCTGAGAACACCCTGTCCGTCTGGCCCTGAGCCCACCCCGCACCGCCACGCACCTTGTCCGGGAATGTGTCAAAACAGGTTCTCACTGGGTCCCGGCAGCCGAATTTGGAGGACTTGAAGCGGCGGATGATGTCCTGGAGGGTGGCGGCCACCACGAAGTATTCTTGCTTCAGCCGCAGCTCCTTCCCCTCAAAGAACTGCAGACACAGCTGCGGTGGGCTGGAGGGCACAGGCTGGGGGGGTCCTACCCATCCCACCCATCCCACTGCCCCCTTCCCAGGGCTGTTCTCATCTCCGCCCGGGCCCAGGTTGGCCACCCGGCTCAAGGGCATGGGCAGGTCTCCAGGGCCCGCCTGTGCAGCTCAAGCAGCCAGAGAGGGTCACATTGCCCATGTGACGGGCCCAAAGAGTCCGGTCCATCAACAGGGGAGGCCAAGCAATGCAGGGCAGAGCTACTTGGAAATCTCAGTCTCCCAACCTTCGCCCTGCACCTGCCTGAGGTCTTGGGGGAGGGGACCACATGGAGGGTCCCGCTGTGACCAGCCTTTCGGCACCCAGGCCTTTGCTACCGTGTGCACATATTACATAGACGCAATAAAAAGGTAACTTGCGAACGTGCACAGCCCACTAAGATAGGCAAATTCCAAAGACTCTTGTCTGGCAACAACAACAAAAAAGCCACCAGGCACAAACTCCAGGTGACAACAGGGAACATGGCTGAGTCCATCATCTAGCATGGGAGGGGCATTAAAGATCTTTCAAAAGCCTCCGGACATCACTGCAAATAGGTGTTGCCGTCCCCACTGGACAGATGGGTCACCTAACTCTTGCGGAGGCGGTGTCGCGTGCTAGAAGAGCACACGTGGGCTGGACCCAAGGTGTGACGGGCTCTGGCCTGGCCCGAGGAGCTGCCATGTGTTTACTGCGAGAGCAGATGGTGGGGTGGGGGGCGCGGTCAGCAGAGAAGCTCCTTAGGGTTCTTCTGAGGGACAGAAGGCCCGAGAGGCTGAGAGGCACAGGTGGCCTGGCTAGGCTTTCTCAGGACGGCTGACCCCGCCCCTCCTCCCTCAGAGCAGTCCCATGTGCTGGTGTCCATGCACCAGCCTACACGAGGCAGCAGCCGGCTACGCGGGGAGCCCCCGCCTGCCAGGGCGCTCGACAGGAGGGGCCCGGCCTGCACAGGAGGCGACCACATCAGCTACTCACGTTATCGTTTGGATACAGGACTCTGGAGATGTTCTCTGCCAAGTTCCGATCCAGGACTGCCTCGATATAGTCTCCCACGTTGACTAGGAGAGACAGAGCCGAGTCAGCACGCACGTGCCTCCGCTGGGGACTCCGTGTGGCCGCGCAACAGCTCAGCGGCTTACTTGAATAGGACAAGGAAAAGCATTCCTGGGCACAGGGCGCCCCCTCCCTTAGAGGGACATGTGGGTCCTCCCTCTCGTCCCCCCGACACCGCCAGCCCCCTTGCTCTTTCCTGGGGCTCGTGGTCAACAGGAGCTGACCCCAGCAGCCCTGGGCCCTAGCGTCGGGCCCCTCCCAGGCTGGCCCCGCACTCTCAAGGCAGCGGCACCAGCTCACTCTTCAAGAGCAGGGCATGCCCCAGAGGAGGGGGCGCGGGTCACAGAGAGGGTGCAAGGGCTGTGGTGGGGGTGTGTGGGTGTCCAGGGTGAGCCATCACACGGACACTGGGAACGGACAGACAGGGAACGTACAGTCCTGCAGCTTGAAATCGTTGGGTGCCTTGGCGGACCACAGCCTCATGGTGTTGACCGTGTTGTTCTTGTAGCCGGGCACCGGGGTGTCGTAGGGCATGGCAAGCACCACCTGGCCACAGGGATGGATGCTCAGGACTGAGTCGCAGGGGACCAGCCTCTCCTCATCTGGGGCCCTGCTCACCCTGAAGCCCTTCCCCTTCCATCCCAGCACACTCGCCCCCCTCACCAAGCACCCCAGTCCCTGCCCACGCCGTCCGCACGCACACCTGCTGCATGGGGCTGCCCACTGTCTTGCCCGAGGACCCCGCCTGGCCACACTGCCCAGGCCACACCTGTCCTCTCACTTCACCTTTTTCAGGGTCAGCCCAGAGTGCAGAATCCCCCCACCCCGCTAACTTGTCCCCATCTCACCCTCAGCCCTCATGCTGCCTCCTGCACGCTCAACTCTCTGCTTCAGTAATTCCAGGACTCGGCTAAGTTCTCCCAAGAGACGACTCCTACTTCCCACCTCCGCCGCCCCATGTCTGCCGCAAGGATCCTCCTGTCGGGTGCCGTGACTGCTACCCGTGATGCTCCCAGAGCAGCCCCCGCGGAAGCCCAGCCGTGTCCTCCCCACCCCAGGCTGGCATGCTCCCTCCTGACAGGCCGCACAGACCCCATCCATCCAAAGATCACCTCTGCAGACGCACCCAGACCTAAAGGTCACAGGCAGCCCTCGGGGTCTCCCACGGGCGTTCCCACCCTCGCGTGTGCTTACGGTTTATGAGGGCACAGCTGTGCCCGCATTACTAAGTCATGAAGGACTGCACACTGGGGCCACCAGGATTAAAACCGCAGCCTCACCTTTCCCTTCCTGTCTCCTGTCAACCCTCACTGCTGCCCCACGCAGCCACACCCCAGTGAGCAACAAGTCCCTGGCAAAGCATCCCAGCACCCGTCCCCGCCAGCCCTGGTGCCAAGGCCTCCTCACGCCCCGCCTGGAATGCCCATGGGTCCTCCTCACTCACACTGACGCTCACCTTCTACAGACACGCCTACAGCACTGGATCCCCTTCTCTGCCTTTTCAAGTTAATTACAACTTTTCATGGCATTTTTGGCCCGTGTGACATGGTTCCGGCTGCTCTAGCCCATGTATCCTACTTAAAACTATGTTTCAGAGAGGACAACTCTCTCTGCATGCCCGTGACTGCCCTGCCTCTGGGCCTGCCTGTGTTCTCACCTCCTGCCACAGGGTGACCAAGTCCCGCTGACCCCACCTGGCCCTCCTGCGCCCAGGCTACCCGAGGCTGGCACCACACACAGCCGAGCACTCTGGCTTCTCGCTGCTGGGACATGTGCCCAGGCCTCGCACACACACCAGGGCTCTGATGGTCAGACACCATGAGAGGTACCAGGAAGCAGAGTGCGCGGCGAGTGAGCGCATCACGTGCCCCGGGGAGACGGTGGGGAGCTGTGGGCGTCCACCCCAGGGGTCAGCGCCCTCATCCCCATCAGATCGCTCCTCTGCTTGCCCTTAAACGACAGGGTGTGTCACCTGCCTGCACACGCCTGGCCACGGTTTCAGCACCTGCCTGCACACGCCTGGCTGCGGTTTCAGCCCCACACACGGCTCCTGCTAAGCCACACAGTGAGGCTCAACACACCTGCCGCTGTGGACAGCGTCTCCACTGTCCCAGAAGTTCCCGTCAAAGTGTAAGAAATTAGGTACATGAGGACAATAAAACCTTGGCTGGCTTTTACCTTGAATGAAGTCTTCCAGGGAAGCAGCAACCCCTCATGCCCCAAAAGAAGTCAAGGTGACAACAAATGAGCCCTGGGCGGCCCCCTCACCCAGCCCCCGCCGTGTCCTCGACGCCCCGGGCCTGGTACCTGCGTGTCCAGCCACTTCACGCCGTCGGGGGTGTGCTCCACGCGCCCGTAGAAGTGCACAGGAAGCATATACTCGGGCCGGGCCTTCTCCCAGGGGTTGCCGTAGCGCAGCCAGTCGTCGGCCTCCTCCACCTGGAAAGGGCCGGCAGTGAGGGCACACTCAGGAGACGTCCCAGCCTGGACACACCTCGCTGTCCAGCTCACACGGCACCTGGCACAGCAGCAAACCTACGGCCCGTTCGCCACGTCAAGATCTCCACTTCTGGTCAAGCACACGGGTTTAAAAATGACATTTTGGACTTCTAAAGTAACAAACTTGTATAAAATTCAGAAACACACATCCAAATAAAAACACATTCAGAATCACCTGAATTCAACATTGACATGTGCTCAACACGAATACACTCCGAAAACACCACGCTCAGTGAAAGAAGCCAGACGCGTAAGGTCACGTGTCGTATGATTCCATTTGTAGGAAACGTCCAGAACTGCACACCCTGAGACACAGGAAGCAGATGAGTGGCTGTCCTGGGCTCCGGTGTGACAGCAAAGGGGTGTAGGGCTTCTTTTTGGGGTGATGAAAACATTCTGGAGATACTTAGTGGTGATGGTTATCCACCTCTGAATATACTTAAAACCTGCTTTGTATCTAAATAAATCTGTTATAAAAAAAAGAATCATGAGATTCTTCTCAAAGCCACTGCTTTGAAAGTGACGCCATAAATCCGCAAGTGCTGGGGCCGAGCTGGCAGTGGGTGCCCAGGACACACCACAAGAAGACACACTGCTCCGCAAGGCCTTCCAAAAGCGGCTTGTTTTCCAAAACCTACATCCAGTGGCACCCAAGACCACTAAACATGCAAGCTCCCTTCTTGTAAATAAAATTAAAAGTAGCCCCTTGACCACCCACGAGCAGAAGCACTTAGTGAGGCTGCTCCACCACCATCCTCTGGGACTTATCCGCTTGCAAGCAAAAGAATAAGAGAATCTGGCACAGCGACGCACGAAGGATTCCAAAGTCTAAATGAACTAAAACCAAAATGAGATCAAGTATTTCTTCTTCAAATTAAACAAGCAACCCTAGCATGAGTCTTTGAGGAATTTCTTTTAATGGTTCTCACACAGCAGTAAAAAGTCACCAGCGAGAGCATTTGGGCTCTGCTTTTCGGGAGGTGCCAGGGCTTCGACATGCACCTCCCACAGAACTCCCAGCAAGACCTTTCTGCGTCTGGTGACCAATCTGCCTTTCGACTTTCTGGTGGCATTTCCTCGTCTGTTGTGAGCTTCCCGGACACTAAAGCCTAGCTACCTCTGCAAAGCAATTCTGGAAGTTGTCTGCAAGAAGCAGCAGCTTCCCAAACATAAGAGGCAGCGAGCACCTCCCTTCTGGGGCCAACGCTCCCTGCCCCCCTCAGCCAGGGTGCCAGGTGGGCTGGCCTATGGCCCCATCGGCCACATGTCACTGGCCAACCACTAACCACTGCCTGCATTTACTTCCGCCACAGCTAAAGCCAAGTAAAAACCATTCCACCTGATCAGTCTCCATGAAAACAGGGTAGGAGAATTTATACTCACTGATTACCTTAAACTGTCACGCAAGACGGCAAGAGTTACAGGAACAAGGAACATCAGAAGAAAAACTGTGTGGTGAAACAAAAAATACCAAAAACCTTCCTGCTTATAACCATGACACCAATGAGGCCTGGGGGAGCCCCCAAGTTTCTGCTTATAACCCCACACGTCACACCCGGACTGCCCATAAGGAGCCAGGGCGGGGCAGAGAACAAACACGTGCACAGCTGGAAATAGGCATGCAGAGGGCTGCAGACAGAACCGCTGGGAAGGAGCAAAGTGCATTTCTCTTTTTAAGGTGGGAAAGAGCATTTCTGTGAATCAAGCAGTGGATCCAAAACGGTTTTTAAGTTTTCTTTTAGCCAATACTTTTCTTTACCAACATTTTATTAAGAGCATTTTCAAATATACGGAGATGTTACCGTTTGATGGTGAAGACACACACACACCACCGGGTGCTATAACGGATTTATCACATCTCATCCATCGATCTATTAATTTCTGGGTGCGTTTCAAAGTAAGGTGCAGACATCAGTATACGCTCCCAGTGAACACACCAGCATGCATGTCACTGATGATAGATGACGTGTTTGCTTTTTAGGCTATTTTCTACACAGTGAAATGCAAAAATCCTAAGGATGCTGATGGTGACTTGCGACAAGCGCACAGACCCTGCGGCCCAAACCCCACCACACCCTGGGTGGCTCTACCACTCGTCACTAGCTTGTTCACTGAGACTGTACCGCTCTGATGCTACAAATCTCTTGATTCTAACCCCAGACCTGCTTTATCTGTGACTTTGAGGCCCTAAATGACACTAAATAAACACGAGTGGGATACCACGACTTTGAAGTGCTGCAGGGGGGGGACCGGCCAGCCAAGGACAGTGAGGCCGCATTTTTAAGATTACACCCTCTTCACGGACATGGTCCTGACCACCTCTCTTGGCTACAGTTTGATGCTTTAAAATCGAGGCTCATTCTTCCCAAGGGCCACTGTACTTTGCAGAGTCCAGCCTCTAACCCCAAGGACACCGTCCCCTCACTGGCGTCAGGGAGCAAAGGCAGAAGGTGGGAGTAACACCCACAATAACTGCTTTTCTAACTACTCAAGGTCAATGTCTTTGAGGCTGAACCCTGAGAGCACCAGGCCCTTCACTCGCGTTCAGACAGTCAGAAAACCAGCCCGTGGTGTCCTCGCTGCCTGGCTGCAGAAGGCCCTGTCCAGGGGCCCCATGAGGCTCAGCCCCGCCTGACTTGCGGTCACCATGCAGAGGCGATTTGAAAGGAGCCCACACAGGGACCGGCCTCTCTGGGCCACACGGGGCTGCCGATGGCCCAATCTGCTGCGCTGTGCTGCCGACTGGCCTGCCGTTCCCCAAGGCACGTAAAGTACAAAAAGCCAAGCTGAAAGTGCTGCTGCTTATGTTCTTGTGCGAACAAGAACTGGAAATCAGTGAAGAAACCAAATCTCACCCACCTGCCAGCCGTTGACAATCTTCTGGTTAAAAATCCCAAACTCATAGCGGATTCCATAGCCGTATGCTGCCAGGCCCAGGGTGGCCATCGAGTCAAGGAAACAGGCTGCAAAATCCAATCACAAATCAGATGTCAACAGATCGGAGGCCGGGCTGGGCCACCGCCCACAGGGCACAAGGTGGGGATTCAGAGGCGACCACAGCCAGCATCAGGTTTCAAGGAAAACTGGGGCCCCTCAGCCTCCCCTCGGCCCAGAAGATATCAACATGGGGGCTACTCGGAGGCTGTGGGAGGATGGCGGAGGTGAGGAATCCACAGAGAACAAGCGAAGCGCAAAGCCCTCACCGCCTCTCTCAGACAGCCCAGCTCAGGCCGAGGCCCCCCGACCCTCTGCACGTTCCGCTCAAGCCCAGGCGGTTCTGAAGGTAGGGACACATCACAGACCCGTCCCTACACGTCAGTGACGCAGGCCCAGCAAGGGGGCCTGGTGGTGTACATGTCACCACCGTCCATAACTACGCAGACACCCAAGCTCCAAAGTGCCACCAGGAGCCTGGGAGGGGCTGAGCATGTCACCGAATGGAGCCCTTTTCTTGAAAGACAAACAAAACAATGACAATGCTTTGAATAAAGATCCAGAAGGCAACCTTATTACATCTAAGGAGTAAAAAAAGAAAAAAAGAAAAAAAGAAAAAAAGAAAAAAAAACCACACAGAACACAAGTAAATAAAATAGATGTCCAATCCATCACACACGCAGACGCCTGCTGGGCGCTGTGGTGAGGGAAAGGAATGAGGAAGACCCACGGACATCGGACTCGGGCTCTCATTCTGGAAACTCTTTCTTTGGCAGGGAACAGACCACGTCAGGCTATGGCGGGCTCAGTGCTGCCGAGCTGTCCGTAGACGGGGCCCGGAACACAGGGCCGTGGCGAAGGCTGAAGCAGCCCGCAGCCTCCCTGGTCCACGGACCGTGACTAGAAAAGTCAAAGGACCCAGAACACCCCAATCGGAAGCGAGTCTAAAAGCACAGGGGAGGGAGGTGTGGTGACTGGCCACCCCTGTGGCTGTCACAGAGCAGGGACAAAGGAGGCTAGAGCTTCCCTCGAGCTTAGGAAACCCGGTTCTGCATTCACTGAGAAAGGACCAATCAGTCACATGGCAAAAATCAGTCACATGCCCCAATGGCTGGGGGCATGGAGGGGACTGAAGACCCTTGCGGCTCAGAGCCCTGAGGGGGCGCCAAGGACACAAAGCCTCCCGCTCTGTGAGAAAGCCCACGACAGCCCCTCGCTAGAGCCTCAGGGAGGAAAGGGAGTCACGGTGTGACAGGCCTGGTCTGAGCTCACTTTGTAAATGACAGCACAATCCTGCATTTGAGAGAAGGCAGTGGAGGACATATGTGGCCTTTCACACTCACAAGTGGAGCGCAGGTGGGGCAAATTTTATTTATTTATTTATTTTTGGGGTAGGGTCTCACTCTGTTGCCCAGGCTGGAGTGCAGTGGCACGATCATAGCTCACTACAACCTTGAACTCCTCCTGGGCTCAAGCAATTCTCCCACCTCAGCCTCCCAAGTAGCTGGGACTATAGATGTGCACCACCATGCCTGGCTAATTTTTAAATTTTTTTGTAGAGACAGGGTCTTACTATGTTGCCCAGCTGGTCTTGAACTCCTGGGCTCAAGTGATCCTCCCACTTTGGCCTCCCAAAGTGCTAGGATTATAGGCATGAGCCACCAGGCCCAACCTGAATTTTTTCTTTATATAGATTCAAGTGCTGTTTTGTTTGAAAGAAACATGTTACATTTATAATTTAGAAGAATTTAACCTAAAATTTGAAAACATAAGCACACACCCCACCCCCTGCCCCAGATACATTTTAGGGCATGAATTCCCTTTACAAAATGGCAACTCCCAAAAGGATCACTGATGCAAAGCAGCCAGGGGCCAGGCCACCAAATGAAATCAAATCTCACCGTGACCACTATTTCTACTTCTGTGTTTTTAACCTGGCTCCCTCTCTCCAAAAAGGCTGGCAAAAATACTTAAAACAGAAAACAATAGGGCTGGGCTCACACCTATAATCCTAACACTCTGGGAGGCCAAGGCGGGAGGATAGCTTGAGCCCAGCCTGAGCAAGAGCGAGACCCTGTCTCTAATAAAAACAGAAAAATTAGCTGGGCATTGTGGTGGTGTACACCTGTAGTCCCAGCTACTCAGGAGGCTGAGGCCGGAGGATCCTTTGAGCCCAGGAGTTTGAGGTTGCAGTGATGATGCCACTGCACTCTACCCAGAGTGACAGACTAAGACCCCGTCTCGCAAAAAAAAAAACAAATCCAGAAAACAATAACAAAACTGGGTATGCTCTCAAATACAGTGGCCCAAGGGAGTGATATCCCTGGAAGAAACAGCTCTATTCTTTCTGGGCAATCTGTTGACTGTATCAAAGCCAGAGTGACTGCTATACGCACAGCTGTGCTCACAAATCATGTTTCTCTCCATCTTTCTTCTCCCAGTTACTGGCTTTTGGACCCTGGAAAGTGGCCAGGATACTGGGAGCCCCTCCCGGCACTAGCTGACCCAACATAGGCAGGTTTGGTCTTCATGATAATTATGAAGCACCCTTTGTAGGAAACAGAACATGTATTTTCCTTAAAGATTTCAATCTGAAGAACACACTGACCCATCTACGCTGAGGGAAGCCAATTTACCCTGACAAATCGGCATCAGGAACATGCCTGACACTGGCCTCACCACATGACCAACCAAGCCGACAGGTCAGAGGAGCTCATCCTGGACAGGTGCGGGTTACCTGCCAGCCTGCCCAGGCCCCCGTTCCCCAGGCCAGCATCCTCTTCTATCTCCTCCAGTTCTTCCAAGTCCAACCCCAACTGCAAACAGAAAAAGAGGCAGCATTTTAATATGACTTAATATTTTCCCTCAAATGACAGGGTGAAAGACAATTAAGTCTTGAAAGCTTATACCAAAAGTTAAAGTTAGAGTCTGCTTTCCCTTATATTTGAAAATCTATTGTTAAAATTTGATGTTAAATCAACGCATGGAAATGCAAGTTTCCAATATTTCAAAAACTGCTAAGAGTTGACAGTCAAAATTAAACATGGTTTAAATAGCCAAAAGTATTTATTGACAGGTAATTAGCCTATTTACAGTGAACAAACTACAACATGTATCTTAAAAGTGAAACCAATGGTTTCAGTCATTATCTAATTTCACACAATCTAATGATATTTACATGACACTGTTTGAAACCAAAAGCTAAAAGCACTTTTCCTGTGGTTATTCCAGTTGAATTCAAACAATCTTGTAAAATAGATATGGCATGTTAAAAATTACACAGAAAGCAACAAAGTCACAACGATTTACACTGACTTAAAACCATTCCAGAATACAGACCTTAAGGCTCTCAATTACGGTTTATGGATAGAGATTCCATTAATCTGGCTTTAGCGTACAAACTTGACAAACTGCCCACATTATCTGGATCAGTGGTTTTTAAACTTTTTGGTCTCAGGAAGACCCAAAGAGCTTTTGTTTATGTGGATTATATATGTATCAATATCTATCGAATTAGAAATTAAAATGCAGAAATTTTTAAAAGTACACATATGAATTCATTTAAAAACAAATAAACCTATTACATGTTAACATAAACAAAGTTCAGTGAAAAATAAACATATTTTTGAAAACAAAAAAATATTTACTGAGAAGAACACCAGTGTTTTCTATTTTTACAAATGCCTGTAATAGATTTTCTATCATTCAATCTGTTGTGATGTCACATATCACATTGCCTCTGGAAGACTCCACTGCCCACTCTAAGAGAATAAGACCAAAGAAAGTAAAAAACATCTTAACGTTATAAAAACAGTTCTGACCTAGTGGACCCCTTGAACAGGCCACAAGGACCAGGGGCCTCTGGACCACAGTTAGAGAACATAAAAAACCACAAAAGGTAAAAAAAAGTCATGAGAAAATAACATCACAGCCATAAATGATTAGTACAGATTTAGTAAACTGAGTGATATTACCACACACAGTAATTCAATTCAGAGTAAAATTTCAAAATCCTGTGACTTGAACTTAACTCCTAAAACAATTTCAAAAGACTATGTTCCACCAAAAATATTTTGGGTATGTGGGGGTGGGGTAGGACTTACCCACAGCACAGTACCTGCTCCAAGTTAAGAAATAAGTTTAACTACAACATTTTCTAAACTTAACTGATCATGGAACCTCTTATTCATAAAAACTCTATTAAATTCTGGCCAGGTGCAGTGGCTCAACGCCTGTAATCCTAGCTCTCTGGGAGACTGAGACTGGAGGATCGTTTGAGCTCAGGAGTTCGAGACCAGCCTGAGCAAGAGTGAGACCCCCGTCTCTACTAAAAATACAAAGAAATTAGCTGGACAACTAAAAATATACAGAAAAAATTAGCTGGGCATGGTGGCACATGCCTGTAGTCCCAGCTACTCGGGAGGCTGGGCAGTAGGATTGCTTGAGCCCAGGAGGCTGAGGTTGCTGTGAGCTAGGCTGACGCCACGGCACTCTAGCCCAGGCAACAGAGTGAGACTCTGTCTCAAAAAAAAAAAAAACAAAAAAAACAAAAAAAAACCCCACTCTATTAAATTCAGAAACCAACACACTGAAGATGGCTGAGAGTGGATATGGGGAAAGGTGTTTGGTTCCTTCATGTTTTTAGGTTGAATGTTGTAGGCACACTCGTCCTAGTAGGGCAAATGTTGTCTTGATTTTGAGAGCATTCAAAAAAGACACAAAATGTAGCTAACTGATAGAAAGTCTACAACTCTGCTAAAATGGTCTTCTAAACTGAAGATAAAAAAAAAAAGAGCACTAGAGTGCACTCACGATAACCTTTTTTTCTTATTGAGATATAACTAATATACCATAAAATTCACTTTTTAAGAGTGTACTTTCACAACCATCACCACTATCTATTAATAATTCTGAACTTCATCACATCAAAAAGAAATCTGTACCCATTAGCAGTCACTCTCTATTTCCCCCAGCCTCTGCCGATCACTTACCTACTGTCTCTGTGGATTTGCCTATTCTGGACATTTCATGTAAATGGAAGCACACGATATGTGGCCTTTCGTGGCTGGCTTCTTCCAATGAACATAAATGTTTTCAAGGTTCATCCATGCTGTACCATGAGTCAGTACTTCCCATCTTTTTATTTCCGTGCAGTATTCCAATGCATGGCTATAAACATTGGGACTGTTTCTACTTATGGCTGTTATGAAAAATGCTATGAAATTCATATACAATTTTTTGTGTGGACGTGTCCATTTCTCTCATGCATATACCATAAAGTAGAATTGCTAGGTTACATGGTAAGTCTATGCTTAACTTTTTGAGTAACCGTCAAGACTATTTTCCAAAGTGACTGCAACATTTTACAATTACCAGCAGTATACAAGAATTGCAATTTCTCTATATCCTCACCAACACTTGCTCTCTGTCTTTATTATAGCCATTCTAGCGAGCATGAAGTAGTCTCTCACTGTGGTTTTGATTTACATTTTCCTGATAACTAATAATTCGGAGCATCTCTTCACGTTTGTTGGCCATTTGTATATCTTTTTTGGAGATATGTCTATTCAAGTCCTTTGCCCATTTTTAAATAGGGTTGTTTGTCTTTTCATTGTTTAGTGTAGGAATTCTCTCCGTGTGTGTGTAATTTATATATATATATATATATGTAAATAAATATATATGCTGGATACTAGACCCTTATCAGACTTATGATTTACAAACATTTTCTCCCATTTTGTAGGTTCCCTTTTCACTTTCTTCATAGTTAATGCACAAAAGTTATGTCCCAGAGCCATTTCTTGAACAAACTATTCTTCTTCCACTGAATTGTCTTGGCACCCTTTTCCTTTTAAAAAATCAATTGACCATATATGACACTAAAAACCCAGGCGACAAAAGAATAGACAAGTAGGACTTCTTGAAAATTAAAAACTTTTGTGCATCAAAGGGCACTATCAACAGAGTAAAAAAGGCAACCTACAGAATGGGAGAAAATAATTGCAAATCACATATCTGATAAGATATTAATATCTAGGATAAAGAGAGAACTCTTAAAATTCAACTAAAAAACAAACTTGATTCGAAAATGAGCAAAGGACTTGCAGAGGCTTTTCTCCAAAGAAGACACACAAGTGGCCAACAAGCACATGAAACATGCTCAATATCATTAGTTAACAGGGAAATGCAAATCAAGACCACAGTGAGATATCACATCAAACCCATTAGAATGGCTACCATCAAAAAATAGAAAATAATTGTTGGTGAGGATGCAGAGAAACTGGGACTCTTGTACACTCCTGGTAGGAATGTAAAATGGTACCTGCTGTAGAAAACAGTGTGTTGATTCCTCAAAAAATTAAAAATAGAATTACTATATGATCCAGCAACCCGCTTCTAGGTATATACTCAAAAGTACTGAAAGTAAGGTACTGAAGAGACATTTGTACACCCACGTTCACATCAGCATTATTCCTAACAGCCAAAAGGTAGAAGCAACCCAAGTGTCCACCGACAGGTAAATAGACAAGTAAAAATGGTATACGTACAATGGAATATCATTATGCCTTAAACAGCAATGAAGCCGGGTGCGGTGGTGCACACCTGTAATCCCAGCTACTCGGGATACGGAGGTGGGAGAATCGCTTGAGCCTGAGTTTGAGGCCAGCCTGGACAACATAGTGAGACCCTGTCTCAAAAAACAGGAATGAAGTACTCACATATGCTACAATGTGGATGAATCCTCAAGACATTTTGCTAAGTGAAATAACCCAGTCACAAGAGGACAAATACTGCATGTGCATGACTCCACTCGTAGGAGGTACCTGGACTAGCCAAGTCATAGAGACAGAAAGTAGGATGGTGGCTGTCCAGGGTGGGGAGGGGGAATGCAGAGTTACTATTTAATGGGGACAGAGTTTTAGTTGGGACAGATACCAGTTCTAGAGATGGATGGTGGTGATGGTTGCAGAACAATGTAAGTGTATCATACTTAATGCTACTAAACTATACACTTAAAAATAGTTAAGTTGGGGCTGGGCGCAGTGGCTCACGCCTGTAATCCTAGCATTCTGGGAGGCCAAGGTAGGTGGATCGCTCAAGGTCAGGAGTTCAAGACCAGCTTGAGCAAGAGTGAGACCCCGTCTCTACTAAAAATAGAAAGAAATTATCTGGACAACTAAAAATATATATATAGAAAAAATTAGCCAGGCATGGTGGTGCACGCCTGTAGTCCCAGCTACTGGGGAGGCTCAGGCAGGAGGATCGCTTGAGCCCAGGAGTTTGAGGTTGCTGTGAGCTAGGCTGACACCATGGCACTCTAGTCAGGGCAACAGAGCTTACTCTGTCTCAAAAAAAAAAAAAGTTAAGTTGGTAATTTTTTTATGGTATGTGCATTTTACCATGATCTTTTTAAATTGGGGAAAAAACCAATTGACCATAAATGTGAGGATTTATTTCTGGAGTCTCAGTTCTATTCCATTGGTCTGTATATCTATCCTTGTGCCAGTACCACACAGCCTTGATGTCTGTTGCTTTGTAGTTAAGTTTTGAAACTGGGAAGTGTGAGCCTCCAACTTTGCTCTTTTTCGACGTCATTTTGAGTACTCCGGGGGTCCTTGCATTTCCATCTGGATTTTAGGATGAGTTTGTCAATCTCCGCAAAGAAGCCGAGTGGAATTCTGATGGGGACTGCACTGAGTCTGCATTTCAATCATGGGAGTACCCGTCTTAGTAACATGTCTACCATGTTACTAAGTCTACCATGCCGTTCACACGGGATGCCTCCATTTCTAGGTCTTCCTTAATTTCTTTCAAGTATGTCTGCTTTCAGAATACAGGTTTTGCATTTTTTGTTGTTAAATTACACCTAAGTATTTTGCTCTTTTTGATGCCACTGTAAGTGAAATTGTTTTTTAACTTCATTTTGGAGTGTTCATTGCAGGTGTATAAAAATACAGTTGACTTTTGTGGATTAGTCCTATATCCTGCAACCTTGCTGAATTCTCCTTCATTATATCTAGCATTCTTTTAGTAGATTTCTTAGGGTTTTCTAGATCATGTGTTCTGCAAATATAGTTTTACTTCTTCCTTTCCAATCTGGATGCCTTTTGTTTCATTTTCTTGCCCAAATACCCTGGTTGGAACCTCCAGTACAATACTGAAAAGTGGAGAAAGCAGACATCCTTGGGGCAAAGCAGTAGGTTAAACACAAGATGGGGACACAATCAGTGACATGCAGACTGCGGAAACTCCACAGGACACATCCAATTGCAACAAATACACTGCAAGGCAGAAAAAATTTAAAAAGGAGATATTTATAGATGAAGAGAGTTTCAAAAGACATATCAACCAAATACAACTTAGTTTCTGAACATATGGTTTAAAAAAAAACTATAAGGCAATCAGAGGAATTTTTATGCTGTCTAAAAAACTGATATTAAAGAATTACCGTCAATATTTTGGGAATAATGATGTAACTATTTTTAAGAGTCCCTATCTCTTAGAGATACCTATTGAAATATTTACGACTGAAATATTATGTTACTTAAGGTTGGCTTCAACAGTCTGGGTGGGGTACGAATGAAACACACCGGCCATGATTTGGAGCTGATGACTGGGGAAGCCAGGGGATGGGTACGTGGCAGAGGTTCATTGTAACAATTCCTCAAGCTTTGTATATACTTAACATTTTCTATAATGAAGACAGTTTGTAATGTGTCCTTGACAGGTAAGTCAGAACAGAGCTGCTTCTTTTGAAGCACTAGTTTTTAGTGTAAACTGCTTCTCTGAACAACTTTCTAGCATTGTACAATGCATTTGTACCACGTTTTCTTTTTGGTGTTACATTTTAAATGAGGGCCAGGGTGGAGGCCTGCTCAAGCCCTGCCTCACCGTTTTCTTCCCACCCGAAACATCTGGAACAGCATCTTACTTCTAGGATGGCCCAGCAAACATGGACCTAGAGACACTGAAGTTTCAGTCATCATGCAAACCTTTCAAACACAAGACTAATAAGCTAAACTGTGGCCAGGTGCAGTGGATCACACCTGTAATCCAAGCACTTCGGGAGGCCAAGGTGGGAGGATCGTTTGAGGCCAGGAGTTGGAGACCAGCCTGAACAAGACTGAGACCCCAGTTCTATTAAAAATGGAAGAATTAGCAGGCGTGGTGGGGTGCACCTGTAGTCCCAGCTACTTGGGAAGCTGAGGCAGGAAGATCACTTGAGCCCAGGTGTTTGAGGTTGCAGTGAGCCGTGATGATGCCACTGCACTTTATCCAAAGGACAAAGCAAGACATTGTCTCAAAAAAAAAAAGCTAAACTGCAAGTGAAATATCACTTTTTAAGAAAAAAATGAGGAGTTGAGCCCAATCTTTCTCCCCTACTACAAAATCCCATTGTAGTAGTCCCCCTGAAAAAAGAAAATAAATTAAAAAAAAGAAAAAAATGTACAAAGTTTAAAAGGATACATTCTTACCTGTATTTTCTAAGTTTCTATAATTAACACATTATTTATACAATAAAAATTATAAACATATTGCATATTTATGGTATAGACATCCCCCAAAATCTTTACTCTATGTAAGAACTGTATAAAGAAAAAATGTTTCAAAAATGTATGTGTGTTATACAACTATAAAATCCACAGAAGATTTTGTACATTCTGTACTCCATATAGACACATCTTAATGTTAGTATACAGTGGACAGGACATAAATGACTATTGCCTGCTAGGGTTACCTCTATCTTGGTAGGTAATTTGAGCATGAGATTTCTATTTGGGAGAGTGGCATTTTTGTTCCATGTGGTTGTATCACTCGAATTCTGTGCTCCAGACGCTGCTCTTCATGGTGTCCTTCAGGGGGAGACAGGAGCCCCCAGTGATGCTGAGCTGCCTCAAGCCTCACTGGACTTACCCCCAACAAAACCCAAACCCAACAAAACAAAGGCAGTGGAAAGGACAGCTCTGGGAAGACCCTCCTGTGAGTGCAGAAGGGGAAGGGGCTTCAGGGCTACACCCTCGGGGAGGAGACAGAGACAGATAGGAAGACAGAGCTTCAGGCAGCCACAGCTCTGCTCTCAAACTACAAAGGACTGTGAAAGGATTAAGTTAAAAGTGAACACTTAGTGAAGACTCCTAAGGAAAAGCAGTTTTTATTCTGATTAGTGCAATTCTGTGGTAGGATGAGCTCAGGAGGTTATCTTAGGGGTTGGGCGAGAGAAACTGGAGGTGGGCTGCCAGCCTGAAAAAGTATTTAATAAGTAGAAATGGGATAATAAGAACCACTTTTGTGGCTGGGTGCGGTGGCTCATGCCTGTAATCCTAGCACTCTGGGAGGCCGAGGCAGGCGGATTGTTTGAGCTCAGGAGTTCGAGACCAGCCTGAGCAAGAGCGAGACCCCGTCTCTACTAAAAATAGAAAGAAATTAATCGGACAACTAAAAATATATAGAAAAAATTAGCTGGGCATGGTGGCACATGCCTGTAGTCCCAGCTACTTGGGAGGCTGAGGCAGAAGGATCGCTTGAGCCCAGGAGTTTGAGGTTGCTGTGAGCTAGGCTGACGCCACGGCACTCTAGCCAGGGCAACACAGTGAGACTCTGTCTCAAAAAAAAAAAAAAAAACAAAAACAAAACCACTTTTGTGGTTTAGTGTTCTAAATCTGCCCCTGAGACAGGGGTGGGGGTGGGGAGGAAAGGGCTTCTAGAAACCTCCAAACCTGAGCATCACATTCAACCCAGCGCTGTACTCCATGTATTATCCTTACTCATTCCTACTCTCTCCCTCGAGAAAGAGCAGCCCCTACCACCCAACTCTCTTCTAAGAGGGGAGAGCAGGCCACAATGCAGTCCCGTTCCCCGACGGCTACTGGTTTTCACAGCAGTGCTTACTTCTGGGACAGAATGCACAGAATTAAAACTTCAATGTGCCCAAGAGGCCACCCAGCAGCCCGGCCCGAGGACCCCGTACCTGATAAATAGCTTCGTCACAAGCGTTCTGAAGCCCCAGGTTCACCATGGTGTTCTGCAGCGTGCGACCCATGTAGAATTCCAGGGAAAGGTAATAAATTCGCTGAGGAAGCAAAAGAAAGAATCTCAGATTTCTCATTCCATCCCCACACATCAGGAAGATTACGGTGACGAGGGGAGTCACAAAGCACCCACTTAGGACTTTCACTTACGGTGACCATATGTGCAAAAACTGGGCACGCTCATTCCAGCCAGTGTCACTGACCAGAGCTTCCCACGGCAGCCCACCCAGGGGACCCCCTCCTAAAGCACAGCACTCTCTTCCTCGACCTTCCTCAGTCCCCAGGTGAGTAGAAACTAACCTTCCCTGACGTGTGGGGCGCAGGTCACTGCAGTGGTTGGGAACAAGGCTCCCAGAACTGGATGGATCCAGGTCTGAGCTCAGCTTGGCCTCTTACCGGCCATGTGCCCTCAGGCAAGTTACGTCTGCGTATCTCTAACACGCATAAAACAACCCTATACGGCTGGAAATATTTTCAAGTGTTAAATGTAAAGCCCTTAGCACAGCTGTGGCACAGTGGACAGGGGCTGGGTGAATGGAGGGACACGCCCACATCCAGCAGGCAGAGGCTGTTTTTGCCTGCTGCCTGTTGGCTGGCTTTGGGGGTTGCAAGCTCTGTGGAAATGAGGTGCTGTAACAAGGACAGCCACCACATACAGCGCCTCCTGGGCACCCAGCGGGGTTCTAAGAGCTCCTCAACGGGGTACCACATACTCCCCACAATCCCCAGGGCTCAGAGCTCGTGCTCTTAGCCTGACTCCTACTGTGCCATCAGAAGTAAGGCCTGAAAAAAATAAACAGGGAAGGAGGGACAAACCTTCCCTGCAGAAGAATTCCAACTGATAAATGTACAAGGAACGCGAAAACAGAAAACCACCATGACAACAGCGCAGTCACAGCGGCGGAGGCAGGAGGCACCGCCGAATGCTAAGATCAATGGGCACAGCCTCGAGGACTAACAGGTACTGCACACCCTCCAGGGATCTCCCCCTAAATATTTATTAACTGCTGTGGTGGTTGTAACAAATTCTAAACTTTCTCAGACATTCTTCACACCAGGAGGTGGTGCTTAATTCCCTGCCCCTTTGGCGGGGCCGGCCTTGGTGACTCCTTGTTAACAGGGAAGAGAAAGGAACAGCAGAACTCCACAGGGCAGGAAGCTGGCCACGCCGACTGGCACCTGATATGCTGAGATGAGAACGGCACTTTCCCTCTGTGTGTCCTTCCCCCAAACCGGTAACCGCAGTCTAATCATGAGAAAACAGCAGGCAGAACCAAACTGAGAGATTTTCTATAAAATGCCTGACCAGTATTCATCAGATTTATAAAGTATCATCAAAATTATAAAGGTCATAAAAGACAAGGAGAGATCGACAAACCATCACAAATCTAGGCTTTTAGAGTAAATGAGTTCAGCAAGGTAGCAGGATACAAGATTAATATAAAATCAATTATATTATTTATAATTAAATAATTATTCATAATTAATTACATTAACATAAAAATCCACTGTATTTTTATACACAAGCTCCATGTAAACTCTACTCACTCTCGACCCAGAGAGAGCCAGGCAATAACAGAACCTTCTCCTTATCACCGACAGACAAGCCAGGGCCCAATCGACTCACATGAAGTGATCTGGACCATGTCAAACTATTTATAACCAGTGAGGTACCAGTATTGTTTTTAAACAGACTATTTGCATCTTTCATTTTAAACTGCTTGAAGCCTAAGAAAAGCCACTCAGCTACACCCATGTCATCCCTACTCTACAAGATCCCACTGAAGACATTGTTAACCAAACTCTTCTGTTGTCCAATGTCCTTTCTAAATTTCTGTGTCCATCTTCCCTTCACCATTTCCTGAGAACCCTATTCTATACACGTAGAGAAAATGCCAGCTCCCATGTCCTGGTGTTTATCTGCTTCGTGTCTTAGAATGTTGTGGGTTTCTCAATGGCTTACAGCCTTGCTTTGTTTAATGAAAAAAAATTACAGGTATGACACTTACAGAGTTCTCTCAATTTTCTGATTTATATTTTGTTTTTATTAGAGATGGGGTCTCACCATGTTGCCCAACCTGGACTCGAACTCCTGAGCTCAAGTCATCTTCCTGCCTCAGCCTCCTGAGGAGCTGGGACTAACAAGTGTGTGCCTCCACGCCTGGCTCCATTATTTGTATGATTTGTAATTGTATAACTGCATCTCATTTGTGCTTCTCAGCAGCGGGACAGCTGGTGAAGCTGAACAAGACTGCAGACAACAGTGCCATGCAAATGTGAATGTCCAGGGTTTAACCGTGCTGCGCTTGTGTAACAGGATTTCCCTGCTCTTCCAAAGTACACACTGAAGCTTTTAGGGATGAAGGGGCAACAAGGCTGCAACTTATTTTCAAATGGTTCAGAGGAAAAAATGTAAAGACAAAATGACCTAACGAATGTGTTAAAATGTTTAGGCCAGGTGCGGTGGCTCACGCCTGTAATCCTAGCTCTCTGGGAGGCTGAGGCGGGCGGATTGTTTGAGCTCAGGAGTTCGAAACCAGCCTGAGCAAGAGCGAGACCCCGTCTCTACTAAAAATAGAAAGAAATTAAATGGACAACTAAAAATACATAGAAAAAATTAACCGGGCATCGTGGCGCATGCCTGTAGTCCCAGCTACTTGGGAGGCTGAGGCAGGAGGATTGCTTGAGCCCAGGAGTTTGAGGTTGCTGTGAGCTAGGATGATGCCACGGCACTCTAGCCTGGGCAACACAGTGAGACTCTGTCTCAAAAAAAAAAAAAAAAAATGTTTAACATCTGGGGAATCTAGGTGAAAGGTATATGAAAATTCTTTGCATTATTCTTGCAAACTTTTTAAGAGTCTGAAGTCACGTAAAATAAAGTTTAAAAAATCACTTAAGTATGGCTGAGATGTAGAAGTGAAGTCAGTTACGAAACTTCATAGACACAAATGGTCCTTGCAGCCACCCACGCGCCTGTGGACTAGTTACGGTTGTCCAGAGAAACAGAACCAACTGTAAGGTATGTGTATAGAGAGGGTCTTAAGAAGTTGGCTCACAACTGTGGAGGTGCAAGTCCACAACCTGCAGGGCGGGCGGGCCTGCTGGAGACCCAGGCCAGTGGCGGTTCCAGCCCGCAGGCAGCTGGCTGCAGATTTGTTCTGTAAGACTCTCAACTGATTGGAGGCGGTAATATTGTGATACAATAAGACATTCATATTTGCTCTTTCCATCCAGAGCTCCTAAAACCCTTGTAATTTCCTATGTGATAAGAGGAATGAAGATGGCAAGAATGCCTTTTGTTATTTATAACAAGCCCCTTTCAATCATACCAGATATATGTTAATGAATGACTTTGGAAAGCCCCTAAGAATGGTGGCTGGTTGCCAGGGGAACCAACCTTGTGACCAGAAGCTTGGAACTCTCAGGCCCACCCCTCCCACCAGCGCCCCCACCTCCAGGGCAGGAAGAGGAAGCTGGAGGTCGAGTTAACCACCAATGGCCAATGATTTAATCAATCGTGCCTAGGTAGTGAAACCTCCATAAAATCCCCAACAGAAGGCGTCCGAAGTGGCTTCCTTCCGGGTCAGTGAACACGTGGAGGAGCCAGGAGTGTGGCGCCCACGGAGAGCAAGGAAGCCCCAGCACCCTCCATACCTTGTCCTACACACGTCCTCACCTGGCTGTTCCTGGGCTGTATCCTTTACCATGAACTGGTAGATGCAAGTTCAGTGCTCCCCTGAGCTTTGTGAGCCATTCTAGCAAATCATCAAATCTGGGCATAAGTCAGAAGAGAGGCCCTGACACACGACTGTCCCCTGAGGTGGGGCAGCCTTGTGGGACTGTGCCCTTGACCTCTGGGACCCGAGGCTAACTCCATGTAGACACTGTCAGAATTGAACTGAGTTGTAGGACACCCAGTCAGTGTCCACTGAAAACTGGAGAACTGATTGGTGTGGGGGGAAAAACCTACACAGAGGTCTATTCACATGCAGAACAATGCTACTACGTGGGCACCGTGGCCTGGCCAAGTTGGCACATAAAATTAGCCACCACAGCCTGTAAGAGCAGAGGCCAGACTGTCTTCTATGGAGACTAATGGCACACACACTGGTAGGCTTCTCAAACTGATAAAATGATGGCTTAACCCTGCCTTCAGGCAGCTAGCTGCCAGGGTAATTGGCAACACAAAACAGCTGCCCGTCATCCACTTCTGGCCAGGGAACTAACTTTGAGCTATCTGCTGTCGGGGAGCCCGCCCAGGGATGCAAGGTCAACTTCATGTATACAAGTGGGCAACCGGGAGTGCTAACAAGATACCATCGGCTGGTTCTACCACTAATCGAAACAGAACCCCAGAAGTGGGGATCATGGGCAGCCGTGGCTACACAATACAGCTGCAAATCATCTTCCTTCAACTCTTGGATCCAGCCAAACCAAAAGATTAATTGTATTCACTGTGATTATCGTATTAGGAATATTTAGGACAGCAGTCTGGGCTCCATGGTAGAGCTGCTTTTCTTTAATCTATCACTGCAGTCCTGCGAAGAGCTTACGGGAACAAGCCACAGAAAACTGATTATTCCATCCACTGCAGCACGTAACGGGACAACTGTCCCCTACATTGTACAACTGCTTTAGAAGACCCACAGAATAAATCATGCACTTGCCCATTCTGGACATTATAGCAGGGACCCTCTGACTCCCATAACTGGGCATGACCTACTTTGGCTGTCAGGACTTCAGTCTGCCAGGACTTTAGTCTGCCATTTGTGTCCTGACCTTCCACCTGAATTTAACCTGTGCTCCTGACCTCACTGTCCCACCTCAACTCTCTCTGAGGCCTTCTACTAATTTGAAACTTTTGTGCTACATCTTACAATGTCAATATAAAATGGAAACATTTTATAAGCAAATACAAAACCCTAACATTTTAGAATGGCAAGGGACCTCAGAAATAGATTACTAATTCAACTCCCCTCATTTTAAAGATGAAAAAACTGAGGCCACGAAAGGTTAAGAAATCCACCCGGTTGGGTGCGGTGGCTCACGCCTGTAATCCTAGTACTCTGGGAGGCCGAGGCCGGAGGATCCCTCGAGGTCAGGAGTTCGAGACCAGCCTGAGCAAGAGCAAGACCCCCATCTCTACTAAAAATAGAAAGAAATTAGCTGGACAACTAAAAATATATAGAAAAAATTAGCCGGGCACAGTGGTGCGTGTCTGTAGTCCCAGCTACTGGGGAGGCTGAGGCAGAGGATTGCTTAAGCCCAGGAGTTTGAGGTTGCTGTGAGCTAGGCTAATGCCACGGCACTCTAGCCCAGGCTACAGAGCAAGACTCTGTCTCCAAAAAAAAAAAGAAAAAAGAAACCCACCCAAGCCCACAGCGGCACAGACTCAACAGTAAAGCCAGGCCTAAGAGAAATCCACCCTCACATGCAACCCTCTCCCCAACCAGCACAGTCGCAGGCTCTGTAGTTCTCAGGCGACTTTACTCTCCCCCTCGCCAGGGCTTGTTTGTTTCATGAACCCATAAGGCACCTTTAAAACCGAGCACTGCCTCTTGCCAAGCACAAACCCCTCAATTTTAGCCAGATTTTTTGACTTGTTGATTTGCCAGGCAGGTTGCTTGAAAAACCTTCCTCTGAGCACTCCAAGTTTCTATTGTTTCTGCTGTTTACCAAAAACAAAGCACTAGGAGTTACGAAACAATAGGTTCAGCAAGAGACGATTTTATGTAATAAAAACAAGTGTTTCTATCAGTACAGAAAAAAAAGATGTAGAACACGAAATATTTATAGCATTTACAATGTTATTACTAGCGGGTGAGATAACAGCTAATTTTTTCCTTCTGGCTTCTGTTCTCTAATTTTTCCTCCAGTACTTACAAGGTCTTATATAATTTTTAAAAGGACAAAAATAATAAAAGCATTCTATTTTATTTACAGCTATTGAGTGTCACACTACCACAGTCTGCAGGGTGCTGGTGCACATCCCTGAGGCCATTTCCAGGGCTGAGGTTTACTGAGAGGCCACCTCCCCTCAGTGGCTCTGGCGGGCTGGTTTCTGGTCCATTTCCAGCAAACACGTCACTTTTCCAGAGAAAGCTTATTTTCATCATGAATTAGCCAAAAAAGCACTTAAATTCCAATTTTCCACTTTTACAAGGCCTTCTTATCCAGAATAGGCAAAAAGCCTTCCATTATAGGTTGTGTGGTTTCTTTAAGAGAAAGGTTTCCACCTGGAGCCACCACAGTGGACAATAAAACAGACCTCTCTCAGAGGATCAGAAAACCTGTTTTGTTAAAGGAACTAATTCTGTTCATGAAGGTCATTTCCGTGAGTCCTGAGCACATCACTGGCCTCTCCAGAATCTAATTATATACAAATACTCTAACGGGAGCCCTAAGGTGTCGAGCTGTGTCCCGGTTTAGCTCCAGGGAGGTGCCCTTGAATGTGCAAAGCTGCACACTTGTCATCCTCAGCTGGATGATAAAAATGACGCTGTGCATCGGACCTCTTCCAATAGCAGGGAATTCTGGGGGAGCCACTGCTCCTTGGCCGGTTTCCCTGGCAGAGTCATCCCAAGCCCTTCTTATAACCTGTTTTGGCCATTTGGTGCCATTTCTTTCTACGTTGTTTTGCATACTAAATATGAAGAGGCTCCCATGGTATTCTAACAAATCTGCCCTGTTTACCATTTCTATTTCAGAAAAAAGAGTATCCTGAAATTAGTTTGGAAAAGGAATCAATCTCACTCTTAGCAATCACTATATTAAGTATATCTTAATGCTCTACAAAAATATTTTAAAATATCAACAAAGCAACTGCCCAAGCCTGGGCATGGTGGCTCATGCCTGCAATCCTAGCACTCTGGGACACCGAGGCAGAAGAGTTGCTTGAGCTCAGGAGTTTGCTTGAGCTCAGAAGTTGGAGATCAACCTGGGCAAGAGCGAGACCCATCTCTACTAAAAATAGAAAAAACTGGCTGGGTGCAATGGCGCTTGCCTATAGTCCCAGCTACTGGGGAGGCTGTGGCAGGAGGATCGCTAGATCCCAAGAGTTTGAGGTTGCAGTGAGCTATGACGGCCACTGCACTCTAGCTGGGGAGACAGAGTGAGAGTCTATCTCCAAAAATAAAAATGAACTGCCCAGTGCCCAGGTGTACAGTGCAAACGAAATGTTTGCAAACTGGCTTCAGGCCTGCAAGTGTGTTCTTTCCTCACCAGTTTCATTCTACCTTAGTATAGGAGAAAGACAAATTCTCCGTTGTCTAGAGCAAAATAAAACTGGCAACAGGGGGCTATCCAAGTCTGCAATCTACCACCCATATTTATTGACTTTGTAAAGTTGTTTATGAGCAAAAAAGTTACAAATGTTTATGAATGAAATGGAAAAGCTATAAAATTGTATGTGCAATAAGTATTCTTTTTTTTAAGTGTGCATACATATTTAGGAATACAAAAAGATCAGGAAGGACATACACCTATATTTTAACATGGTTAAGAGTAATTGCGGATTATCAGTGAATTTTCCTTAATGTATTTTTCTATTGCAAACAAATTTTTGCTAAATATAAAAAGAAGTGGCAATTTTTATTAAAACAATCTCCATAAACTTTAAGTAAATTTCTTCAAGGAAGGCGTGGGAATCTCAAAGCCAGAGCCTTCTGAAGAGATGGAGAGGGAGAGCCATCTCTGACCTTCGGACCCCTTGGGGTTTAAGCAGGCATCTTTAATGATTTTCTTCTACTCAGCCTAGACCCAAAAAAGCTACTCAATTCCCTGCAGATTATTGAACTCACCCCCTTCCAACCCATAGAACTGCCCACGCCTGCTTCCAGTCCCCTGCTCTCCCACACGCATTTGCAGGAAAACAAAAGGCTAGGACAGGGTAGTGGAGGGAGCACCGCCTGCAGCTATCACGGAAGTGCACGGCTGGAAAGTCGCCGGAACACTCGGCCGGATTCCCAGGCTCAGGATCTGCGGACGCTCGCCAGGCGCGGTCTCCTCACGAGGGTCCTGCAGTCTGCCCTGCGCATAGTGGGCCCGGCCCCTAACCTGCCACGGGTGCCAGGCGACAGCCGAAGCTGCTCAGCACCCGCCACGGGCGCATCGCCTCGCGCCAGGTCTCAGGGGCCTGTGGCTCAAAAACACCCGGGGCGGGGGCGGGGCGGCCGCCTCACCTTGGGGTCGCGCTCGTAGTAGTGCTGTTGCGTGCGGATCCAGCGGCCCACCAGGTGGTCGCGCACCGTGTGCGCCAGCGCGAAGAAGTAGTCGCGGGGCGTGGCCACGTTGCGGTCCTTGACAAGCGTGAAGTGCAGGTGCCGGTTGAAGCTCTTCCGCACTTCGGCCACGTCGCCCAGCCCCGCGATCCCCCGCACGCTGATCTGCTTCCGCTTCTCGCTGTCCGTCAGCGGCTTCGCCATCGTGCCTGCCGAAGTAGCGGAGGTGGTGGAGGACAGCGGCCGGGACGCGCGAACGCCGCGGATGCTGCGGCGGCTCTGGCGCCCGGGACTGCGGCGTGGGCCGGCTGCCACGGGCCGCGCATGCGCGCTGCGCCGGGGACGGGGCCTGCGCGGGGCGGGGCTCGCTTGGGGGCGGGGCGTCCCGTTTCCTAAGTGGGGCCGCAGGTGTCCGTGGGAGCTGCAGTGTCCAGGTGACCTGCCCACGCCACCCGGGAGCTGGGATTTGCCCCCTCGTTGGCAAGTCACCAACGCCTGCTAGGCACAGTCTCCTGAGTTGGGGGCGGCTGGCTTTGAAAATACCAGCTAAAAGAGTAAAAGTTAGTTTCCGCTGAGAAAGTGCCAATCTGCCTGCCAATCCTCAGACCCGGGTCACAGGCGCGGGGAAAACTAGCTGCGAGTGAAACAGAGACACTATTTTCCCCAAGGGCGTGACACAGCCCCAGTCTAGTGTCATCACGACCCCTCACTCTCTGAGAAGCTAAATCACACACCAGCAGACACTTCGCCCTTTGAAATTACAGCAGGAATTAGGAAACATCCCCCTCTGGCCGGAGGAGCTTGGTCACTCTGACAGACTCAGCCTCCGCATCCCAGCCCAAACTGGAGCTCCAGATAGGGGGTGTCTGGACAGACACAGCCTCTCACATTTGCTCAACACCGTGGTCCCCCAGCAAACTGGGCGGGGTCCACTCTGCAGACCAGCCTTGCTGACCCCTTGCACACAGTCCTACTTGGCTCTGAGCCTGAGGGACCCCTGCTTCGTGTGAAGTTCACCTAAACTTCATCCTCCCCAACCCCGTAAGAATCTGTCTTTTCCTTTGACCTTGGGACGGTCCCCTCATTGCAATGGATCAGTAACCCATTTGTGGGACCGTGGTTTGCTCCTGGTGGTCTTGGGCTGAAGAGGCTGCGAAGGTTGCCCACAGGAGAAGTCATAGAAGTCCAGGTGCAGTAGTTTTCCTGGTGTGATGCTTTCAAAGTTATCTTCTTACCTGGAGGCCCTTCCAGCTGCAAACTTCTCAGGGTACAATAAATCTGGAATTCCCCCACGGCCCACCCAGCTCTGGCTCTGGGATTCACTCCTGCACTATATCCTAGAGATTCTGGAGCCAGCAAGATGGAATTGCAGGCACTGCTAGCAGTGCTGTGGGGGCCAGGCTTGGTTGGAAGCTCTGTAGACTGACATAATCTGAGAGTGATCTGGCAAATCAGGAGAAGTCATAAAAATGACTGTGCCCTAGGACCACTTGTACCACTCTGAGGAACAGATTTCAGGGAAAGCTTCAAAAGGCAAAAAACGAGCTGTGCAAAGATGTGTTCTGCTGTGATACAGGTTAGAATTAAAACCTTATAAAGGTTCGTTCACCCAGCTGTGCGGCACACCTGTCGATCGTGACTGTGTGCTATTCCTGATTAACTCAGTCCCCACAATAGCCTCTATTACCCTCACTTTACCACGCAGAAGGTGAGCCACAGAGAAGTTAAAACATCTCCCTAAACTCACGTAGCTAATAAGGGAAACCCTCAACATTCACCCCCACCCCACCCCACCAAGGTCTGCTCTGCTGCACACACCCCAACTTATCTGCATTCACAAAGTCAGTATCATAAACCATTGTGTTGCTAAAGGAAATGACAATTTTAATAGCTAGGAAAGTGTAAAGGATGATACAATACTGATAAATGAAAAGACAGAAATACGGATGTAATGCAGAAATGACAATAATGATTTAAACTTTATCTCATTTAAATTAAAATTAAATAATCACTTGTGGCTAGAGGTTGCTGTGTTGGAAACACAAGTTTATACCAAAATATAAGCACTGGTTATATTTTGGTCAATTTTGAGTGGTAGAATTATTAGGGGGTTTCTTTATTTTCCTTATACATTTTGTATTTCCTGTTTTTTTCACAATATTTCCTTTATAATTGGAATAAATGTTAGTAAGGAAAATCAGAGGCTGTAGACTGTATTAATGGTTGCTGATTTAAGGACTGCGTGTTCTCTTACTGGATTGACTTTTAGTTCTTGCTTTGTTACTCTGGTTAAATAAATTTTAAGTCCTTCTTTCCATCTTTCATAGCTACACTTTCTTTATGAAATTTTCCATGGTCCTGGCAAAGATTCTTTGCTTGACCAAATTTTAGTCTGGCTTCGGAAGCTTCTTCTAGGTCCGTCTGTGCACTTCCTTGTAAAATCCAGTTTTATCAAGAACCCTAAGTCAGTTTAACAGGAACCTCTTGTCCGCAATATCTGATCGGGTTCCTCATCCTCCACCAACTAAAAGGGATTCTTTTAGTTGGGTTAGCCAGGGTCCCTGCACCCCTGATGTGTCCTCTTAGTAATTTTCCATCCACTGATGCCCGCTCTGCTCCTTGGCTATAAATTCCCACTGCCCATGCCGTATTCAGAGCTGAGCCTGATCTTTCTCCCCCGCTGCAAGACCTCATTGCAGCAGTCCCCATACCTACCGAGATGGTCCTGAATAAAGTTTTCCTCACTGTACTTTAACATGCATCACCAAATTTTCCTTTAAATATTCTCCCACTCAGATGTAATTTCTTCTCCCTGAGAACTCCCATGATCCCCTCCCCTCAGCACGTGGCACAATATTGAATCTTCCTTATGTGTGTGATTGAAGCAGGGAGGAGCCTTTTTGCCATTATGTCCCCTCACCTCCCCCCCTAGCCACTCATATTGCTGGAATGGCTAAATGAACACCAGGATTATCTCAGTTATTTTCAAATAAATAATTTTTAGATAGTTATAAATATTGTGAAGAAAAGCACAACATTTGAGCTGAGACCAAAAAAAATGAATGAATGAATAAATGAAGGAAACCGGGGAACATCAAGTGCAAAGGCCCTGAGGTGGGCACCAACTTGGACAGTTCACAGAAGAGGCAACTGAGGGATACCAGATTATGCCACCCGAAAATATCCCTTTTTAGCATGTGGATTAATTTGAACTAAAAGCCATTGAGATCTACCAGACGGAAAAGCTCTAAAAACAGAGCACAAATTTTCATTTTGTAAAGGAAATTCACATTTCTTATAAAGGAAATTTCCATAAGATGTTTTTCCCTCCATATAAGGGAGAGGAGAACTGGTAACAGCTTTTACCAATGGAGAAGGCAGTGACTTAAATCTGCATAACAAACCTTCCTAAACAACCCCTGTTTACCATACTTTTCCTGGTCACCTTCTGCTACAGTGAATGTACCCTCCAAAATTCATGTTGAAATTTAATTGCCATTGTGACCATACTAAGAGGTAGGATCATTAAGAGGTGATTAGGCCATGAGGGCTCCACCCTCACAACTGGATTAATGTTGTTATCAGGAGGTGGGTTGTTACAAAAACTAGCTTGGCCCTCTCTCGCTCTCCCTTTCTCTTTCCCTCTCTCTCCCTCACCCTCTCTTACCCTTCTGCCTTCCTTCCATGGGATGATATAGCACAGAGGCCCTCACCAGATGCTGGTGCCATGCTCTTGGACTTCCAAGCCTTCAGAACCCAAATAAAATTCTATTCTATTTAAATTACCGAGTCTGTGGGATTCTGCTATGGCAACACAAAATGGACTAGACACCTCCCCATAACTTGCCTCCCCTGCCCAGATCCTCAACCCCTTTTTTCTTTGTGTTAGCCTAAGATGACATACAACCCAGAGCTCTGACCACCCCTTGAGTCTCTGGGGCCTCCCAGGTGTAAGTGCAATGCATATGCTAATGAATGAATGAATGAACGAATGTTTTGGGGTTTTTTTTTTGTTGATCTGCCTTTGGTCAGTCTAACGTACAGGGCCCCTGGCTGGAAAACCTAACACGGGTAGGGGAAAAGATTTTTCCTCCTCTATACAACCAACAATTGGATTCAGATGAAGGTGGGAGCCCGGTCAAAGGGCCAGGTCCGCCGTGGTGAGGAATCCGGCCTTTATTTTCCATTTTAACAGCAAAACTGTAGGGCTTCAGAGCAGGCAAAATGGAAAGAGACTGGGTGCTGCTTTTCTTTTCTATAAAGCTGAAAAGCAGATTTGCCCCTCCAAGAGAAGGGACTGTTCTAGCCGCCAGAGCACCTGCTTGCCTCGGCGACAGGAATCCCTGTTCTAGCCGGACTCTCTATGATCTTTCTTCTGTTTTTGGGAGATCATTTTAAAAATTCATTTACTAAAGAATGATGGATGTTGGTTCAGGATCTGTTACTGTTGTAGTGAGCCATTCTGTGTTGTTGGAGATAATAAGTTACCTTTAAAGTTCTTTTAAACAGGTATTTCGGGTTCTATCTGCAGCTAGCTCCCTGCCTCAGAAACAGAGATGAAAGATGTCTTGTGAGTGGCATGAAATGCTGCAAGAGTTACAAGAAACCGGAAAGCAGACGTTTTTGGTCTGCTACGCTTAAGCTTCTTGAGGACCTGGAGTGTGTCATCGATCATAAGGGCTCAATAAATATTGGCTGGATGAGTGACTCAGAAGCGTCTCCAGCCCCTGGTGACACTGCAGGTGCAGAGGAAAAACTCTCTGGGATCCTGGCAACGCTGCTGGCTGATCTGTTCTGGTCAATTAGATATTTGCAAAGGAACACAGACCCGGGCTTTCAGGAAATGGGAGAGAAATAACAAATGCATTATTTTTGAGAGGTTGGTAATTATAAAGCCCAGTAGAATAAAGACCACCAGCTGGAATGACGTTGTGGAATTGGGGCCCTCCCTTCACTGGGGTATGTGAACAGATATCCTTAGTGACATTAATGTATTTTAACACACTGATGTTAAAAAAAGAATCCATGAAACCAGAGTGGTACTAAAAGGAAATAAAATGGAGGCGGGGAAGAAGGCAGGTAGCTCCTCTTCAGAAGGAGGCCAAACAAATGCAGGAGCAGACAACGTATGGGGGAACAGGGCACCACGTAGTCAAAGCATCACCCCACAGATTGCCTCATGGGCTGTGGGGGGGAAAAGGCCTTTACAATGGAGAGATACAGCAGACGCCAGCCTTCTGACGTGAGCTGACTCCGTATCGCCAAGAGGACAAACCCTTAGTAATCTATGTGCTGATTCAGTGCTCTG